ACTGAATCTAACATTGGACCTGCATCATCAGCATTATTAGCAGCATTTCTTCTATGAGTTACATTCCTTGATGTAAATTTTTGTCTTTCAGCATGTATTGTTGTATCGAGGTAGTAAAATTCATTTGTGGCAACACTTTCAACATAAGTTGGATTATACTCAAGCAAATTTTTAATATTTACTACATGATTAGCATAGTTGCAACTGTAAACATCTCTACCATTTGCCATGATAGATAACTTTTCTATGAGAGAATTACTTCCATTTACTATACCCATTTGGTCTCCATCTGCATCTATATTAGCTCCAGCAGCAAGCTGATCAACTTTAAAATCTACTGAAAATCGTGCGTTATACCAATCAAAAGGAGTAGCCTCACCTGTATTATCAGCAACAAATCTATGACCTGTTTTAGTTTGGTGAGCACCATTTGCTGGGTTTGTATCTAAAGATTGTCCAAGATCAAAAACAACATCTTCATATCTTTCTAAATATTCTGGATTTCTAAATGACTTCATTTTATTTTAATAATTATATAATTTTTCCCCCACTAAGAATAGCATTGTTGAGACATTTTTTTGGAGTTGTTTTAACTTTTTTAGCATTGGGTTTTTTGGGGGAAGCCCCATTTGATAACATTTTAACTATCTTATCACCAGCCTTTTTACCAACATGTTCACCAGTTTTTGTTGCAGCTGTAGTCACTGCTTTTTCAACACCTTTTTTTAGCAGCTTTTTTCATTGTTTTTCCAAATAATTTTGAACCAACAGATTTAAACACATCTGTTATTCCTTCTCCATAAATATGTTGTCTTGTATATCGCCCCATTTCAGGGTCAAATCTCTTTTTAAACTCTGATTGTCGCCTCATTTTTTATTTTAATAGTTATATTACATCGAGTGAAGTATTAAAGTCATAAACCAATCAATACCATTAAAATTTACTGGTCTTCCAAGTGAGTCTGTCACATAGATTTTCATTTCATCAATGTGAAATGATGATACAGGACAAAACAATGGTCTTTTAGGTTCAAACGTAAATGGAAAAGACCTTGTAAGATTATCAGTTGGTATCACAGCAATGGTATTTGTGTTTATTCCATTTACAATACTATCAGTTATTGCGGTTGTGTTGATATTTAACACATCAATCGAATTTGTTATATTTGGTAGTTTTGTTCCTTACTTTGTTTTTGTAATAAGTTTCTTTTCAAATCCAATCAGGTCTCCAAATTCTGTTCCTCTCATATCAAGTTGATAATCACCATCAAGTGATACTAACACTCGATAGGTAGATAGTATAAAAGTTAGATTGATTGAATAAGTTTTCTTTCCACCCGAATCTGTTGTGTGATGAGACTTTTGAGACATATATTGATGAATATAATCATTAATATCTGAGTAGGAATACATTCCATCTGTAAAAGTAATTGTTTGCCAGGTTGATCCATCGTGAGTATATTTGATTTTATTGTTTTTATAATCACTTCTAATGTTGTACCAAGAGTAAGTCATGGACAGCCGATCAAGAGCAAGTTGATGTTTCATTTCAGGGTCAAGTTTAAGAGATGGATTAAACTTAATAGTAAAATCACCAGGTCTGCTTGTTCCTCTTTTTTCCCTATTTATTGAGGAAATGTGAATAGCTCGTTCTTCCATTTTTATTTAATGAATATATATTTTTATGCGGTGTAGCGAGGGAGGGGGTCATAGGGGGAACCGTAGGTTCCCCTATAATATATAATTTTTTAGTAAATTATTTAGTTGTTTTTTTGAGATTACTTTTATTTGGTTGAGAAGATGTGCTATTTGAGAAAACTCAGGTATTACACCATTATTACCAGCAAGAATTGAACCATCGAGTAATTCAAGTCTGTCAAGGAGTTGATGTGGGTTGTTAAAGTAAATCATTCCTTCTCCCATTTGATACTCAAGCGAACCTAAATAAATTTTAAGAATGTTTTTGTATTTATGTAGTAAATCTTTTTGCATTTTAATCCTTTCTATTTCTTCTTCGTCTTCTTCTGTTTTATGTTTTTTTCTCTTCAATCCAGCTATTTGTCCTGTAAAAACTTTTACATCATTTTTTACTTCATTAAGTATTTCTCCAAGTCTTTCAGGGTTAGTATCCAAAAAATCATTTGGTCTTGGATATTCCATAATTCTTAATATTTCTAAGTCAACATTATCAAGATTTTTTTCAATGTTAACGTGTAGGTGATCTTGGTTTAGATGTTGTAGGTTCATCATAATCACCTACCAAAGCTGGCAATTCTCTCATTTCAGCCAATCTTAAATTAGTTTCATTAATTTTTTCCAATCCTGATGTTAATGCAAGTTGATTAGCTTTAAGTTGTGCTATAGTTGCGTTTTGCTGCTCATCAATACTTTTTTTAATACTATCTTGAGATTTAATAAGTGGTTTAAATGTCTCTTTAAAACCTTCCCGCATATCTTGTTTTTGCCATTTTGTTATTTTTATTACATCTCTCACCTGTTGAGTCAAAGTGTCAGTTTCAATTTTATTTCTTGCAAATTTTTTAGCTTCTTCAATATCCATTTTATCTATTAATTAAATAAAATGGAAATACCAAATTATGATAGTGTTGATTACTCAAATAAAAAATACAAACAATTATATCCCTTCATGCCATCAGACACATTTTGGATGTTAATTTGTGGAAACAGTGGATGTGGTAAAACTAATCTTTTGTATCATATGTTAATTAAACCACTGTTATACTATGATGAGATTTATCTTTACGCACGTAATCTACATCAGGATAAGTATCAAAACTTAATTCAAAAAATGAATGAGTTGAGTAGTAAAACAGGATATGAAATACTTCATGTGAGTAATGGTGAAATAATTCCAGTAACAGAATTGGAATACGAAGACAATCAAAAACTTGTGATATTTGATGACTACGTTTGTGATTAAAACCAAACAAATTTAATAGATTATTTTATGCAAGGACGTCATAAAAATTGTTCGGTGATTTATCTAAGTCAATCGTTTTTTAAAACACCATTAGAAATTCGAAAGGGATGTACTCACTACTGTTTGTATGAGCCTATATCATCGGGGGATGCTACCAGAATATCATCTGATTTGGGAATTAACAAAAAAGACTTAAAATCCGCAACAAGAAAACCATATTCATTTCTATATGTTGATAAACCCAGAAAACATATTGCAAAAAACTTTACTGGTAATATAATCCAATAAATAAAATGGGTATATTTAATGAACATTCAAATAATACATTTGCTAAAGGAATTCAGGGTGCTCCAGGAGTTGGTTTTAGTCTAACCGCAGATGGAAATTATGATATAAATGGTAAAAGACTCACAAATATTGGTGCACCTAATTCTAATACTGATGCTGCTACAAAAAAATATGTTGATGACAATTCCAGTGGTACACCCACAACATCACGATTGACAGTTGATTCAAACATTGATATGAAAGATAGTTACCGAATTACAAATCTTAAAACACCACAAGACCTTAAAGAACCAGCAACAAAATATTACGTGGACAACACATTTCTAGAAAGAGATGGTTCCTACCCAATGAAAGGTAATCTCAATATGGATAATAATCGAATATTTAATCTACCAGCTCCAAATGGTAGTAATCAACCAACACCGTTAGCTTTCACAGATTTTAAATATCTTCATGTTGCTGGAACAAATAAAATGACTAATAATCTAAACATGGATAATAAAAAAATAATTAACCTTAGACCACCAAGAAATGATTCAGATGCAACAACCAAAAAGTATGTGGATGACTCAATACCTGATACTAGTTCTTTTATAAAAAAAGATGGAAGTGTATCAATGACTGGAGACTTCAACACTGCCGGTCACAAAATACTAAATCTTCAAACACCTACATCAAACAGTGAACCAGCAACCAAAAAAATATGTGGATGATAACACAGGTGCCCCAGATTTAAGTGATTACTTGGAAAAAGATGGTACCGTTGCTATGACTGGAAACTTAAATCTTAACAACAATAAAATAATAAATCTTAGTAAGCCAACCCAAGACAATGAAGCGGTAACTAAAGATTATGTAGACAAACTAGTTCATCACACTGCAGTTCAACCAAGCCATTTCAACAACCAGTTTGCTTATCTTATGTCTAGTGGGGCACAATGGAGTGATGAAACAGATGGTGGAAATAGTTTTTTTGTGAGAAGAATAGGAGACTTATCTCCTTCTAAAGGTAATTTTCATGACTATAACCACAAAGTAATTTTTTTAACAATAAACAAAAGTTCTCAAGGTGGATATAAGTACAAAATGGGAATCAACTTTTACAGATTAACTGCAAATGCTGATTACACGTTATGTTTGGAAATACTCAACACTGATTATCAACTGTGGCATAAGTCTCAAATAAGTGTAGACAAAGGAACTTCAAGAGGATTATCAATTGAAAATGTTAGTGTAAAGAAACTCTACCATAGTTACAGCGATCCAAAGGGACAAGCACAATTTATGTATTATCACAGAATAATAGTTAATTTTAAGAAGTTGTCATCCGGTAATAAGTTCTTTCTTCATATTCTGGTTAATTTACCACAAGATGGAACTGACCTAGCTGTGTATCCGAGACAGTTTTTAGGAGTTTATATAATTACTTATGGAATTGTGGGAAAAATTAGCAATATCGATCCAGATAAAGTTTACGACTATCACACCGCATTTGATATCAAACCAACAGAAGTGGTGTACAACGTTGATATAAATGCAAATAATAAAAAAATATTAAACATTAATCTTGATAGAAACAGTAACAATAGTGCAGCAACAGTTGGAATGGTAAATGAAATAAATCCTTTTACAAAAAATTATATTTATAAAAAATATTTTGAAGATTTTTTTGATTTTAATGATTCAAACATTTATGTTTTAAATCAAACTTCATCCGGGGTTGTATTAAATTCCTTATCTTCTATTACAGGAGATACAGCAAGAAATATTACCTTTCCAACTAAAACAATTGATAACATAAAAAATGGTGGATTAAATGTTAATGGTTATACTATTTCTTATACATCAGCTAATAAACTTACAAGCTATACTTTATGTATTGTTTTTACTCTTTGGAGAAATAGAAATTTTAGTATAACTAAAAAGGATGCAAATAGCAATCAAACTTTATTATATTTATACTATCTTAATTCAAATAATAATTTATATTTACATATTGGTAATACAAGAAAAAATATAACAATTCCAAGTAGTTTTAATGGAAAAAAGGTTGTTTTATGGTTAACAGAAAGTATTAATAATCATGTTACAAAAGTTAAAATAAGTAACTACTCCTCAGAAATAGTTGCTAATGTTGTTTCTCATTCAAGTAACCAAAAATTCGAATTTTTAAATCAAGATGGAGTAATTGAAAAATTTATGTACTCCCCAAACTTTTATGATACAGATTCTATAGGATATCACAATGTAATACTTCAAGAAAAGTTAAATGGAAATTATATATTATAGATATAAATGAAGGATATCTTTGAATTTAATCACATAGACAAATCTCTGTCAGAATCTGATATTAAAACCCTCAAAGACTTTTACAGTCATTACCATAAGAAATACTGGTGTTTTAAGCGGTCTTATAAGAGTTATAAATTTCTTGATAATTTTTTTACAATCTCTGGTATATGCTTGGTTGCAATAGGAACTATTTCTGGTGGAATAACCCTAAACCCTGTTGTTCTTGGAGTTGTAAATGGCGCTGGAGTTATTGTAGCTGGAGTAGGAAAGAAAAATAATTATAAAAGAAAAATTGAGATGACAAGGATTGCATTTACTACTTACGAGAAAGTACTTGTTGAACTCCGTGCAGCTCTTCGGGGAGATGAGTGGAACAAAGAAGAGTTTGTTAATCGCATGAAGTTGATAGATGAAATATTAATTGATCAAACTCCAATAGCGGATAGATTTGTTAGTAGGTATAATAAAAGGTTTAAAGATTAAATTAATAACAATAAAATGGATCAATTTGAAAAGTTTGAAAATCAATTACTTAATTCTTACGAAAAAAATTTATCTGAAGAAAGTAGAAAAATTTGTGAAGAACTTGAAAATTTATTTAAAGAAGATGAAAATTTTAATGATATTAAAATGAAAAATTATTCTAGTAATATTTTACTTAAAGGAAAAGATTTGTTTGATATTATTAAAGCTCAATCTCATTTAATTTATTGTTTAAAAAAAGATTTTATTAACAAGGATTTATTAAATATATGTAAACAACTTAAATATGATATTAGTAATTTTAGATATATCAAATATGAATTAAATAGTATTTCAGAAACAAGAAAAAGTCAGAAAAATTTTTTAGAAAATTAACTACTAAGTAATATAATTTGTTTCTAAAATTTTGATATTAGTACTAGTATCAAAATTAGATGTTTTTCTCAATCCGATGAAATACTCCATAATGATTATTTAGAGTTTTTTTATTACGAAATGCTTTTGTGCAATATTCACAAGGAATACGCACACCAGCCATATATTTATGTAAAAGTTTGCTTATCTTGTCATAATCATTACTAAGTATAAATGCATAATTATTTTTACAATATTTCTCTTTCATTTTTAGTTGTGATTCTGATACAGTGTAATTGTTAGTTGGTGATTTGAATTCAATACAGAGTCCTTTAAAATCTTTATGATAATTTAGTACCATTAAATCTGGTTGACCTCGTTGATATCCTTTCTTATAAGAATCTAGTCTTTTATCCTCTGTATCTTGATTTTCTCCCAATCCAGCAACTAATATAGAATCAGGATAATAATTTCTAATTAGTTGAACAACTTTGTAATGAAGATCATTTTCATTTTCTATTTTAAACATTTTGTTACAAGGATTGTCAAACATTTTAAAATATCCATATTTTCTTATTGATGGAAGAACTTCTATGGTAATCCAACGTTTAAACTTTTTAGCGGTTTCTAATTTAGAGGATAAAACAAGGGAGTAGAAACCGGATTCATTTATATAAGTACTCCATCTGACCTGACCCGTCGTTTCGACGGGGCAGCTTTTTTGGTCTTCATGATCAACATGTTTTCTAATTGCTTGATTAGTGTCTTTATAACCAAGTAATTGAGCAACATCTTTTCCTCTAAACCAAATATTTTGCTGTTTGTCAATATATGAAGTTATCTCAATTCCTAATTCTTCATTTTTAAAATTTTTTTCCAACATGTTCGGCATTTATATTATAATTTTTATCTTTAAATAATAAATTAATTTTTTTTATTTAATAACATAAAGTATGTTATTAAATGATGAATAATTTTAACTTTTCTATATCATTAAGTATATGACTGTAATATTTAACTTCTACTGGACCATTTTTTATTGTTTGACAATACTCAACATACTTCTTTAATTTTACTAGTTTGTTATCCAAATTATATTGTATTTCTTCTAACTCTTCTTCAAAGTTATATTTTTTGAAGTAGTTTCTTAGTTTAATCAAAACATCTATGTTGTCTACTTTTGTGTAATCAACTATTATATTTTTCTTTTCCTCTTTTCCTTTTAAGAATAAAATCATATTATTTACTTTACAATACAAAGGGTGTGTCTCATATCCTACCTTGAGGTCTTCACAAATATTTTCTAACTCCTTTTCCATATTTTAATTTACCTAAAACTTTTAACTCAATTTATTTAAGGATATAACTTTTCCTTTTTTAAAAGTCTTTCAAGACCTTCAACATCTTCTCCCCAAAAGAAATCATCTCTTTGTTTTTCCTGTTCCTCATTCATTGTAAGACCATAGCCTTCAGCAAAATAAGCATCTTCATCTAATTCTTTTTTATTTAAACAAAACTGTTCTGGAGCTCTAGTTTTTTCAAGTGCCTCAACCAATTCTTTTACCTTTCTTCCTATTACAGAATCTTCAACTTCAACATATATCTTCATAGGAATGTATTCATCAGTATCTAGTTGAATATATTTTCTTAGCTCATGAAAACGACAACCGTTTTCGTGTTCTTTCATCTCCTGGATCGTTCTTAATAGTTTACTTTTTTCATTTGTTTCATTAAATTTTTCTAAAAAATCAATAACATCATTTTTATTATCAAATTTTACTTTAGTAACTTTAACTTCTTTAGATTCTAACATTTCATTAAATTCTTCTTGTGTTTTTGGTTCCTCAGGTTTCTCAGGTTCTTGCGAGTAATCTAGTTCTTTAGCAATATTAGCTAAGAATTCTCTTTCTTCTAGTGTTGTATTGTTTAAGTCTATAAAACCAAGTACATCCCCCAAAGATCTTTCCATTTCAACCAAGTAATCTAAAACAGATGGATGAAGTTTGTATAACACTTCAAAGATATTTTCTAAATTTAACAATGAGTGAGGATTAATTTGTATACGCATTTTATTTAATAATTATATTAAAAGTTATTTTTTATTTAAAGATATTATAACCAATAATAAAATGATAAACACAATTGTGCGTTATGTTGACTTTTATTATCCTTTTTACAAACATCTTCCCTATCCTGAAAATCTTATAAAAACATCACTAATTTACAGATACTTATACGAAGTTTATTTTAAAGAAAATATAGAATTAGAAAGAATATTTTATAAAATAGAAGATAGATCTATTAAATCTAATAATCCTGTTTTGAATAATCATCTTATGTTTTATAGAGCTTTTAAATCTTTTCATAAACATTACAAACTTGGAAGAGGATGTGTATACGCATTTGATTCTCCAATAAATAGTGAAGTACTCGGTTATCTAACTGGTATATGTTATTGGATTTTTCATAAAAGAATAAAATAATTACATTTACAATTTTATATTAAAAATTTAATATAATCCTTATAATAAAATGGCAGCTGTTGTTATTAGAAAAAAGATGTTATGCGTCTTGGTAAAGAATTACTAAAAGAAATGTATTACTTTTTACATGATGAGTATATGCTCGATATTTTTAAAGAATTAAAATGTTTGCAAGAATTATTCCTAAAAAATCTTGCTTCAAATCATATTAAAATACTAAATAAAGAAAAATTAGAAATACATATTATGAAAGATAATGGTGATGATATTAGAGGAATTTACAATACTTTAGTTTCTCTAAATTTTAATATGGAAACAAATGAAGATTTATATTTTAAAACAAAAGCATTTTTAGATATTTTTAGAGTATTTGTAACTGGTTATGTATACTTAGAAGATTAATTTTATATTAAATTTTAATATAAAATTATTTTTTTAGTTCTTTATAACTATTCCACCACTTTTCATAAATCTCTAAAGTTTTAGGACTAATCTTAAGATAAATTAGTTTATACTTTTCACATCCCATCTCCTCCAAAAGTTTTTTGGTTAAATAAGAAATACTTATCATTCTCTTTCTAAAGTATTTTTTATTTAGTATTTCCATGACGTAATTATCTATTTTCATTAGTTTATCATAAAGTTCACATTTTTGTTCATCAGTTAGGTTTATTCTTTTAGAAATTTGATTAACCTTTTTCTCATAGTGATACTTTCTATGATAAATACTCTTTTTTCTAAAATATAATCTATCGTAATCTTTAACATCGTAAGAGCCTAATACATGCCCGTTTGCTACTCCACAATAATCACAGATTTTGTAGCCAGAATCAATAGTAAAACTATCACTTTGCCAATTACAACATTTAGATTTTCTACTAACTTCCTCTTCAGGTTTACTAGTATAATTATTCAATATTTCTAGATATTTCTTTATTTCTTCTTCTGTATATGGCATTTATTTATTTATACTTTATTACCTTAAAGCTATCGTTTTTACCTTTCCCAAGAGTGATTCGCGTTTATCATCTTCATTACTTAGTGCTACTTTATTAACTTCTTTTGAGTATATATCATGATTTTCACTTCTTATTATTTTCATCTTTCTCATTTCTTTTCTACCCATAAATAAACATTGAACATAATCATTAAAATCTAATTTCTTTTTTACAACATTTTTCTTTATTCCTTTACACTTACGTACTTCTTTATCTTCTTCAATTTTAAAACTGTAAAGTTTGGGTCGCAATCCAACAAAACAAGTAATCTGTTTTCCTGCTACTTCATCTTTAAACATCCCTATGACTTTTTTGTTAACTCCTGTTAGTATTCCAGATGGGTGATTAGGAGGATAATCTGAAGTGTCAAACTTGGTTAGAATGTCATGTGATATATCTTTGTAAAAATCATCTGTTTTAATCTGGTACATCAATGAGTCCGTATCTGTAAACAATAACTCAGCTTTGTTTCCATATTTCTTTTTTATGTAGTTATAGTGAAAATCAAACATTAATGTTTTTGATAAATCTAGAATTGCTTGACGAACATATACTGGTTTGTTAAAATAAACTTCAGTCTTCTTCATATGGACCGCAATAAGATGATTATCAAATATTGTTGCTCTATCAAAGTTTGGACGACTTGATAGTTTGGCAGCTTTCTTACAATTATCAATAAGTTCTATATTTTGTCTTTTCCTTATATTTTCTATTGTTTTTCCAAATACTGAATTATTCATTAGTTTGAAAAAGTCTTTCTCAAAACTGTTGGCTGCTGTCTTTCGAAGTTCTGTATTTTTTCTTATATATGGTTCCATCCAAGGAGATTGATAAAATGATATTCCTCTATGAACGGCAGTTATTCTCATTCCCATTTCAAGATATTGTCTAAGATTTCGATAGTGAACAACATAGTTTTTTCGGGGTTTGAAATGACAAATTAGTTTTTCAACACCATTAACAATCATCTTCTCAGGTGCAAGAAGATAGTCATTATGATCTTCCCATAGTCTGGAGGGATACTCCAAATCAACTTCAAATATATAACCTTTTCTTCCACGATTAAACATACTATGATTTGCTTTCTCTAAAATTTCCATTACCTTTTCTTTTGTTATATCTTTCATCCATTTAAATCTATGTGTAGGAAGTTGTTGGGACATTGCCCAACCGTAAAGATTATTTGCATCAAGATATTGAATAAAACTGGACTCCTCATCAGGATTATAATTTTTCATGTATTTGTTATTCGCCTCTGCATATCTTTTTGATATGTGTGTTATTCCACCACGAATACCTCGCTCAAACATCATTAACATATCATAATCATGTAGTAACTGTAAATTCTGTCTTGTTTCTTTGAGACATGCATCCCAAGCTAGACCAGGAGATGTGTAATAATGAGCTGGATCTAGTTTGTAATGTTTTAGGCAAGTTTTTCTAAAGTTTTCAAATACATCTGACAGAAGAAGGACATCAGACTTTAGGTAAAGATTATGATAATCTCTTATTGTTTTACATTCAAAGGTATTCCATACATTAATTGCGTGTTGGTAATCATCATCAGTTATGTCTTCATCATTTAGTTTTGAATAGAATTCCTCTTTTGGGGGTAATTGTGTTTCGAATAGTTTTTCAAGTGATGAAACATAGTCATAAGGATAAACTCCCTTACGAGTTAGTAGATTTACATTTTTCTTAAATACTTGTTTTGTATTATGAAAATCATCTGGTTGTAAATTTGAAACAAGATTGGCAAGTGATGTTTGAAGAAACTTGAATGAATCTAAAAATCGTATTTCAAAATTTATTGGTACCATTTGGTCAAATTTATAAGACTTATACTCATCAACCTTAATACTTTTAGAAAAGGAAATATATTTTTCTTCCGTAGATGGAATACAGTTCAAATTACCTGGTAATTTAGCAAGTTGTTTTATAAATAAATGAGCATCATATCCTTGAAGATTATGAAATATAACTGGAAGAACTAATGGTTTTCGGCATTGAAGATTACAGCTGTTATGAGCTGCACCACGGTACTGACCGGTAAAATGACAATGATCTCTAACTTTATCTTCTTTTAATTCTTTATTACAAATATGGCAAGTTTCTGCTTTATCAAATAATTTTTGTTCGGCTTGAGTTAGTCTAAGAGGTTTTGGTCTACGATAAAATTCATTATAAATTCCTTTAGTTACTTCTGTAAGTTTTTCTACAAATACTTTTGATATATCTTCATCTTCTTTTGTTTTTGTATAAATGATTGGTTTAAATTTTTTATCAACTATTCCCTTAATATGAAAACAAAATCCTGATGGTTCATGTTTTTGACAGTTGTAATTATATGATTCTTTTAGATTAGGACTGCAAGTATTCATTGGTTTGGTAAAGCATTCAAAATCTGCATAAACTACAAAAGGAATAGGAAGTTTTTTATAGTAATTCTTGAAACGTAACATTGTGTTTGGTTCAGGCATTTTTACACAAACTGTTTCATTGTTAGAACAATATTTAATATGTTTTTCTAATAATTCTTCTTTAGTGAAATGAGTAAAACACTTTTTACAAATAAATATTTTACCATTCTTACTTGCAGTTTTTTGTGATCCAACCAAACGATTAAAGTTTTTAATTAGTGAATAATGTGAAACTCCATCTTCTTCATTTAAAAATAAATCAATAGTATTTAAACAATCTCTCTCTGCCATTCTCAAAGGATAAATAATCATATTTTCATATGAAAAAACATTTATTCCTGGGAGTTCTGGATTAAGCTTTTCAAATTTGGTAATATCTTTTAATTTCATGGGAAAAGTAATACCTTTTGTGTTAAGTGAAAACTCATACTTCTTTAAATCTTTCAATCGACTATCGTTATCTTTTTTTGGATAAAGATATCTAAGTACACACCAAAGAAAACATTTATCATCTTTATTCTGTATATTTACAATTGCTTTTTTATTTGATATCCACCCTGGAAGAGAAATATAAGAAGAACCTTTCGTTGGATTATATTCAATAGTATGAATTTCAAGTTTTTCCACTTCTTTAAAATACCATCCACTTCCAACTTCTTGATATGCTTCTATACCACCTTCAATACCATCTATACTTACTTGAATTAATTTGTCAACATCATCTGATTTAGTATTAGTAAATGTAAACGAATTAAAATAAGCTTTACCATCTTCTAACCCTACAACACCAACATTTTGTTGTATATTTTGTTTTTCCATAATGCAAACTAAAACCATCCTAAATTTTATATTTCTATGATAAGTGAAAAAATCTCTTAAAGTTTTATTTATATGCTCAAAAAACTGCATTGGAGTAAGACCAGGAATTCCTTGAATAATATATTTATTGACAAAACCTTCAAGAGCTGATTTCTCTTTTTCAATTCCTTGGTCATATTCATACATAGCTCTCTCAAGAGCTTCACGTAAATAAGAAGGAGTATCTTTGGGGATCTTTTTATTTTTTATACATTCCTCAAAATACTCATCAAATGTTTTTATCTTTTTCTTTTTGGTGGGTTTATTTTTCTTAAGTTTCTTTCTATTCCTTGTTTTACTTTTTCATTAATTTTATCTAGTTTTCTAATATCACGAATTATTTTTTCTTTTTCACTTAATTCTTTATAACTATCCTGTAGTGTTTTTTTCTTCTGGTTTAATATATATCTTAATTGCTCCATAGATAAACTTTTATAATCTTTATCTGTTATAAAGGGTTGAGAACCCTGAAAACCATCAACTGACTGGTTAGACATGACGTCTTATAATATTATTATATTATTAGACGTAAATGTTTAAGTTATAAATAATCAATTTCATCAGTATCATATTTAATATAATAAAATAATTTACAAAGCAACATATAAAATTCTCTATATAATACATAATCACAATCAATATGACCTTCATTTATTTCAAAAACCATTATATCATAAATAAAAACTATATTTTCTACATCAATCCCTTTAAATTTAAAACAACTAACATCCTTAAGTTTACCCCTTTCCTGGCCTCTCAAAAATCTTTTTATAAAATACTTAATTCTATCAACTTTGTGACTCTCAAATAATCCCTTTCCTGCATCATTAATATTATAAACAAAATACTCTAATTCTTTATTTATTCCTGTAATAAAAAGGTATTCCTTTTTGAAGTCCCTTGCATATTCTGGGATTTTATTAGTTGATTTAATGCAATTCTGGGAAGACGAAAAGTGAGCCAGAAGTACCATTTCCTATACTACTTTAACCACTGATTTACCCAATAACGGATGATTAAATAACAGAATTTTCATCATTTTCCTCATATTGTATGTAAGTGTTTAATTGGTCTAAAAATAACTTTGTAGAAATTCACATACCCTAAGCGCTAGAGTGGGCGTTTACCTCTCTGGCCCTTTATTGACTCTTATTTTCAGCTGACTTTTAGTAAACATAAACTGCTTTTTTTTTTCAAGGAATGGAGAAAATTAACTTTTCTGGTGGAGAACCTTTCATCTACAAACGCGGCGATTTCGTTGGAGAGTTGGTCCGTTACTGCAAGCTGGAATTGGGGATTCAGTCTGTGACAATAGTATGCAATGGAAGTCTGGTCACTGAACGCTGGTTTAAATCATACGGTACGCAAGCAGTTGTTTTCGTTTGATAAAAACTGGTGGGATGATAGCGGGCTCCATGAGGTCACAAATTTAAAAACCGCAACCAAGTTTATAAATAGCAAAATGTAAAACAAGTTTTTCAGTTTCCGAAGAGCACTTATGAATAATTATATTATTATATTTTATTGTTATCATTATTACCTTTCTGAAGTTTGGTTTAAACTCCATAGAAAGGTATATCAGAGTGAGAACGAAAAGCGTTTTATGTAAAATGTACCGATTAGTGAATTTTCGTGGGGTCTTTTTTCCGCATTAAAAGGCCCACTCGTTGGAAAATGTTGTTTGCCCCTACGTTGTCTGTAGCCCAAAAGTCTCGACAACAAGTGATAACAATGGTCATGAAAAATTTTAAGGGAAGCAGTTTCAGTCTCAGATCTTATTGCGAGTGGCTAGTTCTTGAGCGGTAGACCTCATAGTACGGGCTTGCTTGACACAGGCTTGACTGCAACTAATTTGGTTTCTTTAGGTGAGTTTCTAGACATCATGGCTGTGTCATGTGACAGTTTTAATGAGGAGACTAATCGTCTGATAGGAAGGCACCAGCATGGCAAGGATCACTTGCGCTGTTTGGAGAATGTACGTGATTGGTGCAGAAAATATCACGTGGCTTTCAAGATCAACACCGTTGTGAACACTTATAATGTGGATGAGGACATGAGAGAGAACATAAAGAGGCTCGCACCCATTCGTTGGAAGGTACATGCAGCATTATATGTACGTTTCTTTGACTATATTGTTACTCGAGAACATGCTTGGATATTGGGCCCCAATGTGTGATATATATGACCATATGATATATGCAGCCATATATCATATTTCATTATATTTCACCCCGGTAAGGTAATCCAAGAGAGTCTTGGATAAACTAAACTACAATTCCGGTTTGAACTTTCGGAACTTCCACGTGCCCAGTGAAACGATACATTCCGGTTGCACAGACCAGACTCAAGCCACCGGGGGCTTGGTCATTGTTCTTGTAAGCAGGATACAAAAGATCGATACTTGGGACAACAGTTTTGTCAAACGGAAAGGGACATTTCGGTACGACCGATCGAAATGACTAGACCGGTCAAAGTGGACCACCTTCAAAGCTGGTTCCGAACATTCCGGTCGGACCAAAATGAATAAGTCCGCTCCATTTGATGTACCAACCAAAATTTCCGGAATTTTGAGTTGAATGGAAAGCGCCCTTGGGTTCTGGAATTCACGCCTTGAATTCCGGATTCCAGACAATAGATTGCGGACTTTATGTCAGTTGAATTAGGATTCCGGATACCCATCGTTGGCGGAATTCCGATTTCTTTGAGCTGAATTTCGGATTCTGAAGCCCATGATTACAGACTCCGCAAGACAAATTATCTTTGATTCCGGATTCCACATGCAAAAGTTTCCTGGATTCTTAGTTATCTTACATTTGGCAATAATCTTTGTCTTGGTCCCTGCTGTAAATACCTGATCCTCGTTTTTACCCTTGATTTACTGCACGTACGTAGTTCGATATGAACTTGCATGTTCACTGTTGTTGTTGTTTAATGGTGATATATTTTCATATTTCTCTGTTTTGACTCTTTCAATAGGTATTCCAATGCCTACTAATCGAAGGAGAAAACTGTGGTTCAGACGCCCTGAGAAATGCTGAAGAGTTTGTGATTTCTGACGAGCAATTTAATGGCTTCTTAGAGAGACACTCACAATTAGCATGCCTTGTTCCGGAATCAAATGAAAAGGTGATTTAGTTATTAGATGTTTAGTACGCAAGATGTCAAGAGTGTGTGCTTCCCTTGGTCTGCGTTGCATCACGGTTGTTCCTGTTCCCAGAAACGCGTGATCGTTATCGTGATCGTGATTGAGGAGGCAGCTTGGCCGATTGCTTGGGGCGCTGGACTCGAGACCCGAAAGTATGCGCATTTTCATAAAAAAAAAGCAAACAAACAAACAACGAACAAAACAAAATAAACAATCACTAGACAAATATCATTTTTATCTGATATTGACTGGCATGTTCCAAAAGGTTTTAGAGGGTTTATCGATCATGTTTTTGAGAAAACAAAGGAGATAGAGACAATTCGCAAATGAACAACAAAAACAACTTTCACTACCACACAATTATATAATACAAGCATGTTACTTATCATTCGCGTATTAACTCTACAGATGCAGAATTCCTATCTGATTCTGGACGAATATGTAAGTATAAATTTGCGCGTGGCTGATTTAATTAGACTACAGCTATAGGTCGGGAAAAATGTGCACGCGACAATCCAGAAAGGTAATATAGGATATGATTAATGTACTGTCCCTGACACTGAAGCTGTCGAACCTACTTTTGCTGCTTCCCTTTAGCACTCGCAAACTTACGTCCGAGGCCTCCCTTGCTATTCTTTCAAATTTCTTTGAAAAACAGTGAACTCACAACCGCCCACTATATTTTTCGGGATTGTCGCGCGCACCTTTTCCGACTGACTTTTCTCAAAACAGCTGTATCTAATGAAGAAATTACAACAGGGCCTAAGTTCGATGTATTAAATTAAAATTCTAAAACGACTCCGAGAGGCTTTCTGGTCATATTTCTATAATTGGTTTGGTTTTTTTTGGTGGGAGGCTCAAGTCTCGGAATCCACACGGTGTGAATCCAGAATCCAAGACCGTTGCAAATATTCCACTTGGTTCGTACAAGCCGGAATGGAACGACTACCTCAAAACGAATTCCTCTATTTTAGGGAGGAATTTCCGAAAACTGAGCCTTACCGTTAACCTTCCATTCAAAATTTTGGGCACTTTTGGCCTCATGGTGAGCATCCCAGCAGCCGTGAGTATCGCAAGTACAGATGATTCTTAAGCTGACTACATCCCATGGAGCCATTAGAAGAAAACACAATCATTTCTAAGTAAATCTGTGTTTTGCAAATGACAAAGAGACTTTCTTTGGGATATCCTTACTATTTGGTAAAATCAAGTGGTGGAAGGGGTGGGGGGTGGGGGGGGGGGTGGGGGCTCCTTTGCTTCTGGCGCTTATTCGAAAAAATAAAAGACTGCAGACACCTGCCTTTCTTCTGCGTACACGCGTGTTGTCGCTCCTCCCGGGTTGCATTTTCACGCGTGCTCGCACATTTTCCTCTCTCTACGATCACTGAGGGAAATAAGGTATTTTGAATTCGTAGTTCAGTTCACCCATTCAAGGGAATACGGATTCCAGAATCCGGGAACTTTTTGCTGTCGAATCCGGAATCCTTTGTTTTGGAATCCGGAAAACAGTCCAAGGACTCCGGAATCCCTCCAACGATAGGAATCCGGAATCCAAGTTCCACTGCCGGAATCCAGTCAGTCTAAAATCCGGAATCCAAGACTGTCTTGGATTCCTTTACATGGGGTGATTCAGTGGTACTACAACTAAATAATTCTCCTTGTCTTTGATGTAGATGCGTTTCCTGGACTGCCGAACAGGTGCTAAAGTTCCGTCAAAATCCCTGCTGGATGTCGGAGTGGAGAACGCTATCAACGCCAGCGGATTTGATGAGAGGATGTTCATTAAGCGAGGAGGAAAATACACGTGGAGTAAAGCTTATATGAACTTGGAATGGTAGACTGTAGTCGAAGCTTTGCTGACAAAGAAGCCGCAATCCGCTTCTGGTTAGATGACACCATGTTGACATTTTCCCAGTTTCCATAGAAACCGTGGCCGTATCGTGTGTGCGTGTGTGTGGCGGGGGGGGGTACTCAACAAAGTCCTATACGGGGAAGCTCCGCCCCGAGGTCCAAACCATAACTCTTTTAATTTATCATTTTGGATAGAAAAGGGAACCCTTCCGTATACCTTCCATTGACAAATGGTACCTCTTTCAGTTACCTAGTTTAGAAATTTGCATCCCTTTAAACTGCTGTAAATGCGTAATCTGTTGAATTTCTTAAATATGAGTAAATTATGCAACCTGAAATTTTCTCGACTTTTTCACAGCTATCCGGATCCTTCTGTAGCTCTTTTAGATCATATTTCAGGCCGAAATGACAGATTTTGCTACCCTTTCATATACTTCAATTGGTGAAATCCCTACCTTTTCATATACCTGAAGCCTGAAAAACAGGTACCCCTTTCGGGCGGAGCCTCCCCGTGTAGGCAAACCTAAATTCAATAGGTAAAAAGAGCTGATTAACTTGAGCAGTTTGTGCAATTTTCAGCTTTTTGCAGGCGATATTGAAAAAATTAGTTCCGATCATGTGTTCAGTCCCAAATGAAATCATACCGAAGTAGGACAGGGCTGAAAAACTGCTGCGGCTGTGCTTTGATTTGCGGCAAAAAAAAAGCGCAGGCTCAGGCGGACCTCTTAAGAAACAGGAGTTTTCTGTAATGGGTTCAAAAGGTCATGGTTTGTCAATTGTGACTGGTGGATTTTGATCTGTTAGTTTGTATCTTTTTGTGTTTCAAGGCTTGTTGCTTTTGAACTTCAGACTTGTAACAAAAACTCAACCAAAGGGTCCACTTTGAAAAGATCGTTAAAAAATAAATTACTGAACAACAAATAGTAATTATGATTAGTCAAAAGCAGCAGCAAATTAAAACGAAGAAGATATAGGGTAACAGGTGGAACGAAAAAAATTATGGAATTTTTATGAAATCTCTCCAATTCCGATATAAAAGTCTGGACATGAAAAAAATATATCATTATTTTGCGCCCGGGAAAAGTAATGGTGATCCAAACAGAAAAACAGATATTAATTTATGATTTAGACAAAAGACCACCTTTCGGCAAATATGCGATCAGCAGTGGATTGCTTCATTTTCACAAATGAAGAAACAGTAAATAAAAAGCCCTTACTTGTGCAATATTTCCAGTGTATTTGTGGACATATGTTTTGTTTGTTTGTTTGTAGTTGTTGTTATTTTTAGCGTTCTGGGGTTGTTTTTTCACAACCCCGTGTATTTCTGCTGCTGCAGTGACGACACTGCTTAGAACCCCTTTGTATGATGGGATGCCTGTGTTTCCTTCTCTCCCCTCCCTCTCCCCGTTTATTTCTCTTTTCTCGCTGTCGTCTCAACTTTCTCGACCAACTCGCGCGGAAAGGTTTTGCCACGCAGGCCAGTGATGTTTGTTATGAAGACTGGATGTCAAAAGTCATTCAGTAGCAGTCACGGAAGGTCATAGCCTGCTAGACCCAATGTTTTCCTCGAGAATCGCTTGCCACAGAACACAGTATTTCAAACTTCTATCGTTGCACTGGCGGTACCGGAGTACAGACTCAAGGCTGTTCGAAGGAGTACGTGCTTTCGAAGACATTCCAGAACCTAATGGCTGGAAGCTCGTGTTCGATCTTTTCACGAAAACCGAGCGGTTTGCCAAAGGATACAAACTTTTTGAGCGCCTTTTCGAAGAACTTGGACCTATTTACAAAGAAAGCGTGCTGTTGAGTCCCAAAACCACTGTGCATGTTATCGAACCAGAAGATATCGAGAAAGTTTTCCGTTCGGAAGGAAAATATCCGAGGAGGCTGCAGCTAGATATTTGGCTTGAGTATCGCAAACGGAGGAACTATTTTCCAGGCCTAATTTTATTGTGAGTAAACTCTGCTTTCATCTATGTAATAAATATATTAATATATATATTAATATGATTACCGTGACATTTACTCCTGGGCGACAGTTACGTCGCCCCTAATGGTCGTGTTTGCCGGGGCAAGTCACGCAACTATTCCGGGTCAGTTGAAACTCGGCTAATTTTTGAAGATTTATCAAAATATGATCTAATATTTCTTAGAAATCGCCATCTTGTTTCACCCACACATTTTTAAAGTCCTCTGCGGCTTTACTTTTTCAAATACTCGAAATGTACTATTATATATATTAGCGTGTGTAAAAGTAAAGCATTATTATGAATATTCCTCGTTGACTCGCTCTACAGAGAAAACAGATAAGCTGTTTGTCAATGTTTATATAAACAAAAATAGCAATACAAAATATTTGATATTGAAGATCATCAAGGATGTTAATGCATCAAGGATATTAATCTTAGGATACTTTCTTCTGCCTTGCTCGCTGTACTCGGGTGAACTTAACTGACTTCACAATCTTGATAATATGCAAATTTATCGAGTAGGGCCCAGAGGGGGTCTTGAACTAGTCACGATCATCATCTCAGACTGCTTCGAAAAGGTGCAAGAACACAAAATATAGCGCAGGTAAAATGTGTTTGTTATATTGTTTATTTTTCTCTGCAGTAAGGTAAACCGTAAAGTCTTGTTTTCACCAGAGTTGGGGTCATAAATCAGAAGTGTAGAACTTCACGACCTGGTGAAAACAGCGTTCTTATTCCGCTTACGAATCCTGTCCAAACGTAAATGGAACGGTTCGGCCAGGTGAAAATTTTCCAGTCAAAGTGGTCCACCTCCAGAGGTGGTCCTCTGAAATAAAAGTACGGTCAACAGTCAAACTTCGCTTTACGGACACCCACTTAATACGGACAACTCATTATTACGGTCAGTCTGCTCTGTCGCTGGGCAAAGGAAGCCCCTTTGTTACAGACACCCCGTTATTACGGACACTTTAGTTGGCCCCCTCGGTGTCCGTATTAACGAGGTTTGACTGTAATCTTCATTGCTCTACTTTTGTTTTTAACAGAGACGGGGAAGAGTGGAACAGAGTGCGGCAAAAAATTGCCCCCAAAATGATGCGCCCAAAAATTGTCGAGGAAAATATTGCTAACTTTAACGCTGTAAGCAAGGATGCTGTGGCGAGGTTAGCTAAATTGTACGACGCTTCTGAGCAAAATGATTATATGCCCGACTTAGAAAAAGAGGTGAATCGATGGTCCTTGGAAGGTGAGCTAATTATAGCAATGTTAGTGCAATGGACGACATTTGAATGAATATTAAGAGTCCATCTTCATCATCATGATCATCATCATCGTCGTCATCGTCGTCGTCGCCTTCTTCAATATCATCATCATCATAATAATAAAAACCATTATTATCATCATTGTCATCATCATCATCATTATCGTCATCATCGTCGTCATCAATATCATAATAATAATAACAATCATTATTATCTTCATTGTCATCATCATCATCATCATCGTCATCATCGTTGTCGCCACCACCATCACAATTACCACTACCATCGTCATCATCATCATCTTCATCATCATCTGCTTCATCGTCGTCATCAATATCATAATAATAATAATAATAATAATAACAATAATAATAACAATCATTATTATCTTCATTATCATCATCATCGTTGTCGTCGCTGTCGCCACGACCACCACAATTACCTCTACCATGATCATCATCATCATCGTCGTCATCGTCATCAACATCGTCACCGTCATCACAATCATCGTCATCGCTGTCGTCGTCGTTGGCGCTACCATCACCACAATTACGTCGACCATCATCATCATCATCGTTATTTTTATTTTTCTAGGTATTGGAACAGTGGCATTTGATAGTCGGTTTGGATTGTATGAAGACACGCCACCTCAGGAAGCACTAGATTTTACAAAGGCGGTCAACGACTTTTTCGAACTTAGCCAACAGCTGTTATACAGTATACTTAACCGAGTTGCTTTGAAGTATATCGACACACCAAAGTATAAAAAGTTCTCTAAGAATTATGACACTATCCTGGAAATTGGACAGAGGTTTGTTGAAAAGAAGATGAGGGAAGTGAAAGAAATGACAGAGAAAGGAATTGATCTCGCCGACGCTCAAGGTGTGTAAATAGGGAGCTTTGGCATCGACGACGGCAAGGGCAGCGAAAACGTCAGTTTTAAAAGGAATTCCCGTTTTTGCAATCTTTGTCGCGTTTATTCCAATTTGCTGAAAATGGCAAGTGTTGGCGAATTTCCCTAGAGTTGATTTCTTGAGGACCGCACTCAAGTTTAGAGAGAGAGAAAGAGATTCGTCGTCGCTTGTTTACGTCCTCCATAAAACTTGCAATTAGGCATTTTCACGTCGTAGTCGTGCAAGGACGGTAAAGAAATGTACAAAAAAGCACGATGCACGTACAAAGTTGTTGTTTTGCGTAATAAACCTATTGTTTTTTTTTTGACGTCCTCGTCGCTAAAGCTCCCTAAATATAGAGGCTGGTTATTGTGTACTTTACAAAATTCCTTTTTCTTGTAAAATACAGAAATACACATGATGCCATATAGAAGTCAATATCTTTTTACGTGACTTAAACGATACTTAAAGTAACTATAATTATAATAATAATAGTAATTGTTCGTAGTTAGTTGTGACGCGTGACTATTTTTATCGCTTACATCAATCCCCACTGTAAAATTGACCAATCGGTTACTCCGTTTCTGGGCTGACGGAGGGTCTGTTTACTACAAAAGAGTCCCCAGTCCGTCTTTTCTCGTCTGGTCCCAATCCCTTATTATTACATAACGTGGTGGTTTGCATTCGCGCTGGCTGAGATAAGAACTAGATGGATTTTAAGAGAAAAGGCGGACTGCAGGGAGTCCAGACTGGGAAAAGTATCAAATTTATCGAGGGGGCAGAGAGAAGGGTTTAGATAGGGTCAGATGTACGCCCCTATGCCCGCCCTCTGGGTACATTAAACCAAAATGGCCGCCAGTTGCAATTTATATAAGCGCTGGATCTCGACGATTTTACTGGTAATTGGGGTTCTGTAAACAGTCTTCTCTCCATGTAGTTGTGCCACTGTTGACATATTTGCTGATGAAGGAAGACAACACTCCCGATGAGGTCAACGCAATTGCAATTGATGTTGTGTTTGCAGGCGTCGACACGGTAAGCATTAATTAATTAATTGATAATAATTACTAATTTATGAGTAAAGTATTTTCATTTACTCCTCTTTTCTAACTTGAACAAACAGCTACAAATCGAAGTGAATTAAATATTGAAACAAAACAGGACTCCTGTTAACTCCTTTTCTATAGACGTCATCTGCTACTCTCTGGTGGCTGTACAATTTGGCACGATTTCCTGACGTTCAAGAAAAGCTGTACCAAGAGATAGACAGTGTTTTGGGGAAGGATGATGACGTCTTACCGTCGCACCTCGCCAAACTACGCTATCTCAAAGCGTGTCTCAAGGAGTCCATGAGGTAAACGCTTATTGCTTGACCATGACTGGTTAACTCAATAAGCTTCAATAGGGAACAGAAGTGATGACGTCACAAAAACTAAATTTGTGAAATTATGGTATAGGTTGGCATATCCTGAAAGAGCGAGATGAAAAATGTCCACTTCCGTTATGTTGTGATGACTCCATTTAAATCCTTCGAAAATGGGCCTAGATCGTAAGCGTTGTGATCCAAGCTATTTTTACAAGGATTTGGATGGAGTCATCTAAACATAACGGTGCTAATATCTTCCCACTAATTTGCAGTAACAAAATAACAGGCGGATTTTTACGAAGTGGACATTTTGCATCTTGTCCTTTCTGGATATGCCAACCTATGACATAATTTCACAAATTTAGTTTTTGTGACGTCACACTTCTCTTCTCAATAGGTCACTGTGAAAGATACCATAATTAATGTTCGACTCAGTGCCGTTTGGGGTAACACCCCATGCAAGCCTCTTTTTTTCTGTGCACGAACTGCACTGGCAATGCAAAGGCTTCTTGAAAAGTTGCATACGCAATGCATTACAACCGAATACAGCAGTGCTAACACCAGCTAAATTGCAGTTGAGCTCTTGTTTCGTTTGGGGCCCGGAGCATGCCTGCCATTTACTTAAGAAGAATTGAGCTTAAAGGATATATCTTAATCCCCCCAAAAGTTACGCTCTAACACAAGTGGTCTGAAATCCTATTTATGGGTAAACAGTCACACCGTATCCAAAGTTTAAACGGTCCGTTGGCTCGATATAACTGTAGCCTTCCTTTATCTTCTAAGGGCCACGCTGAACTTCCACATCTTGCTTCTTTACATTCAAGGTTAAACCCAACTTTTCCAGTCATGTCAAGGATTTTGGAAGAAGATGTTGTTTTATCTGGATACAATGTTCCCGCAAAAGTAAGTAACAAGAACCACTTTAATTTCCTAAGTGCTGTCTTAGTTTCTATGGTAACAAGAGGGCGTGGAGGTCGTTAAGCAATCTGTGCATTGCTTCTACCTTGGGTCTGGATTCTGTTCCGGTAGACAAATTTCTGGGTCGAATTTGTTCGGAAGACGATAAGTGTATAAATTAACTCTTTAAACACTAAGATCAAAATATGAATTCTCTTTTGTCGCCCCTATTCATTTCCTACAGACGTTGTGGGGAGAAGTCGATAAAATATCAAGCAAATTCATCTTGGGTGATCATGTTCGTAATTCTCATGACCACTCTGTTTAACAAAGCATCGATATTACAAGGAGAAATTTTGATGCTGATCACTCTTAGGGCTTAAAGGGTTAAAGGGGCTACATCATGCTATTTGCTATATTTTTACTAAGCTAAGGCGAGTCCTCGCATCAATTGAATTCCAAAAAGGCACAATTTTATTATTTAAGACTACACGTTATGTAGGCGTCGAAACTGTTTCCTGTTGTCTGTTTCCTCGGATGACGGGAATGGAAATGCATTAAACCTTTTAAGTGGGGTAACATTTTGAATTTTAATGCTAGGCCTGCAAATATCACCAAAAAATTTATTATTGTTGGTGCTCCCTGATGAAAATTGTTTCATATCTTCTTCATAACTCTGGAGGAGAATGTTGGGTATGGGGAAGGGCACTAAAGGTGCTATGTCAACCCTATGTTAAAGCGTTAAACAACTTGGTATAGGGGCACCTTTCTCGAAAGGCTCGCGATCGGTACCTTATTTTGTGTTATCTGCAAAATCAGTTTTGAAACCTCGATCTTGAATGTGAAAACAACAGCTTTTCAGGCGAAACTTTCAAGCAACGGGCCCTTGTGGTTGACATGCATAAAAGAATTGCACTGACATAGAAACAGACCATTTCCGAGTTCCCCCGGGCCTCTGTATCAAAACGAGGTTAAGTGGTCAGCTTTTGATATGGAAGTGATATTTCATTCTCATGCAAATAAAACCCATGTTCACAAGAAAGGTTCTGCACTTGGCCTCATTTTGAAAGTGAGGGTTTTTTGAATCTGTCTTGGCTGACTCTCTCCCTCCACCGAAATACAAGCAACCAATCAATCAAGCAAACAAACCAATAAAGACAAAAAATAAACAAACAATATTTCGTCCTCTTAAAACCATTCTAGATCTAAGATGCCACACCTTAGTGAGTGGGAACTGAGGGCTAATCTCCTCTGACTAATTTAAGTAAAAATATTTCTTCACTCACTGTTGTAAATATTGCAGTTTCAATCTATAAAAATACACAGTTGGCGCCCAGGCTTGGGTAAATAAAGCGAAGAAACTATTCTGAGTTTCAAGGATGAATAACTGTACATTTCTTTTGTTTTATACTCTTAAGTCGCGGAGCCGAATATTAATATTTCAAAATTGGTCTATTAACTCTCAAAGACTTTGGTAGTATTGGAGTTTTACGCCACAACTCGCTCAGACAAGTACTTCAAAGATCCTTTGGACTTCAAACCAGAGCGCTGGCTTAGAGAAAGTAAAGAGGCTCATCCCTTTTCTCACTTGCAGTTCGGATATGGACCACGCATGTGCGTCGGTAAGAAGCTTAAGAGAAGCAATTCTGTCCAGGCGACCAATTTCCCTTTTGTAAACATAAACCGTCGCTGCCATTTTTAAGACACTTAGAAAATTTTTGACCTGTTACTGATAGTGTTTCTATTAAAAAGAAAGAAGATTGCAACCCAAGGCGGAACCCGTACGTTTCGTATCGTAATCTCTCTCCCTTACCACTTTACTACCACATAGACCCGCAAAAATTCCGAAAATTTAAGTACATGAACTAGCAAACTGTCTTTCTTAAGTGATACATCAATAACAGGTGAATCTAGCCTTTCCATAGCTGTTGACGTAAATTCAACTTGGGCTTCAACATCCTTCTTTCTAAGGCTATTAAAACGCGTATTACTGATTTGCCTTATTTTATCTTAACTCAGGGAATATATTACATCTATCATGACTAAAGGCTTGGTTACCAATGGTGGCATTGAACTTTAAAAATGGCAACGACCGTTTACGAAAGGAAAGTACGTCGAGGTGACGTCTTGTCAAGAACGTCGCCTTTGGCATATGTTAACTAAGATTCCACATTGCGTACATAGCTAAATAAAAGTTCTACCAAAGTGATAACCGAGAATATTGATCGTTTTCAAACGAGGTCACGGCAGTCATATTGGTGTACAAAACAATCAAATACAACCTTGTCCCGAGGGTCTTCTCGCTTTCCAATATGACGGCGGCGCCATATTGGAAAGCGAGAAGACCCTGGAGACGAGGTTAGGGGGCAATGTTGGTGTACCAAAAAGATACTGTGGACATGTGGATTGAACTCTTTTTAAATGGAAAATCTTCCTTTTTGTTTCGAGACATTTGCATAGCCAATGATAAAGTATGTGAAGACGATCTATAGATAAGTCATAGACGTTGTTATTGTGTGAACAGTTTCCAGAAAGAAGGGTTAACGCAGGGCCGTAGCTAGATTTTTTGTAACGGTGGGGGCATTATCGCGAGTGCCGAATGCAGGAGCCTTGTAGGGGGGTATGGGGGTATCCTCCCCTAGAAAATTTTCAAATTGGGAGGCTCCGAAATGTTATTTTCAGCACTTGTCATGAGATATGTCTCCGAAAAATCGACCTCGAGTATGAATCGGCAAACAATTGCAAGTCACCATAATCAAAATAACTGAGTCTAAAGAAAACAAATCCATCCAAAGACTTGACTTGTCTGGCTCAACATGTCCAAGGGGGGATGGGGGGGCAGCTGCCCCCCTTGCTAGTACGGCTCTGGGCTCCGGTACGACGAAGAGGGATAGCTTCTTTGTCTCACCCTCACTGCCAGTAGCTCACATATGCGGTAACTGTCGCAAGGACTGTCAGTGAAGAAATGGTCTTTTGTAAGTTTTCAGTCACAGTAATCGCATTTTGAGCTCAGACAGAACGAGACAACTTCCCAGAATACCCTTGGGTCTCACGAAATAAAATTTGCAGTTGTTCCTATTACGCGGCTGATCATGGCCATTGTTTTATCCGTACGTCTTAAGCCTCATTCACACCATCAAAATATGTTTAGTTAAACCAGGTTGAACAAATTGAAAATTCGTGAAAGAAACCTTAAGGACTTGATTTTTCCGGGGCTGTTTCAAGTAAATTTTGACTTATTCTTCCATTTCGCCAAATTTGTCGTTGAAAAAATTGTTTGGGCAGTTTCTATGAGGGAAAGAAATGTTTTAAAACTTTGTTTAACTAAACAGCTTTTACACATGTTTAAGCTTTGGTGTGAGTGGGGCATAAATAAAGAATATGAACTTGAATTCTTTTTAATGAAAATGAGTTGTTGTTTTCATCATTACGGTAAGAGTTACTGACTTCAGCACAACCACTTATGGCTGATTTTCGTAAACTGGAAAACGAAGTTCTGGTTGGTTATTAGAACAGCAGGTCTTTCCCGCTCGGAATCCCCTTCCTTTGCCATATAATAAATCCCGTATTCACCAAGGTTGTTTGGTCAATAAGAAGATAGTATCCTCGTCCTTTTGTACTTTGCCTAGGTTTATGAAAACTCCTAGTTAGTTCTTGAACAACAACCAAACACCTGGACCATCACGCTTGCTGAATATTTTCTTTTTCTGTATATCTGTAGGTCGTCGTGTGGCTGAACTTGAGATGTACGTGTTTGTTTGCAAGGTTAGTACTCTGAAGTATATTTAACAAGTACTCCACGAGTGCGCGTTGGATATGAGTTGGCTATAATAATAGTCTCATATCCAACAAGCGCGAGTGGAATAATTGTTTTATTGAAAACGCCCACAAAATATGAAGAATTCTTCCCAACTGTATTTGTAAAAGCAACCGATTTGTAAGTAAGCGACTATTAAAAAAACCAACAACAAAGAACAAAACAAATACAAACCACAACAAAAGAAAACAAAAACCAACCGATTTTCAGCTTGTTTTTAATTTTGAGCAGACGCGTACAGTTACCGTATTTGGAGAGCATGGTATAATAAACAATTATTCCTCGAGCTTGAATGGGCTCTGAGTCAATAACCCATGAGGCCGAAGGCCGAATGGGCTATTGACTCAGAGGCCATGAGGGCGAGAGGAATAATTGTTTTAGTAAAATCCAACTAGTTTGTCAAAAATATCGAGACTAAAAAACTTTTAGTTAGTTAAAGCTAGACTTTAATCCTTTTTCGCCGCCAAAAAGCCCGCGCTTTTCGCTACTAGGGGGCTCAACCAATCAGAACTCAGCATTGATACTAATGGCTCATATACCATGATGGCTAAGCCAATCAGAGCCCTAGAACTGTATTATCCAATGGTTCAGTTTTTAATGAAGTATTTTTAATTAGTCTTTACCCTTTTTTTTTTCAACCGTAGAAGATGAAACTGGTTATTTTGGGGGCTTTTTGACCGTGGACGGAAGGCTACAAAAATCAACAACAACAATAACAACAACAATGACTGCGTCTCTAACCTGTTCTATTTCTTTTTGTTGCAGTTACTTCAGAGGTTTCGTTTAGAGTATCACCATGAGCCACTGGATTTGCGCCAGAAGCTGCTTACTGTTCCAGATCAACCGGTAAAGATCAAGTTTGTCAACCGCCTTTGAGTGTCAGGACGCTTGCTTTTTGTTTCTTTGTACGTTTGATGTCATATTGCGTAATCCTTAAAGTGGCCGTGAACACATTAAAGGATTTGTATGGGAATTCAGCTAAAAAGTTGAAAAAGATAAATACTTACTAGAATTTTCAATAAAACACATGCAGTGGATCGGGAAAATAACCACACAGCAAGCAAAAACAAGCAAAATAAATAAGGTAAGGTGTATTTGATTAAAAATTCTAACGAGTATTTATCTTCTAGAATCTTTTACCTGAATTCCCATACAAGTCCTTTATGTTCACGGCCATTTTCAGGATTATGCAATAGGTGACCACACGTATTAACAATTTAATATATATATATATTAGCAGCGCTAAAAACGAAGCTCCCGATAATAAATTTATAATTTAAATCAAACAATAAACTTGTAATCCACAAATCAGTTAACTTTAGGGCACATTCATGTGAGTTTTAAGGGAAGGCTAAAAAAATCAGTAGGTCTAATTAGTAAAAAAAAAAAAAACTTTGCACGTGTAGCACACTTTCTAAGTTGTACATTTCTTTGCCGTTGTTTTGCACGACTACAACAAGAAACTTCCAGAAACTTCCTAGTTACATGTTTTATGTGTCCCTGTTGACTTTTTGTTCGCTGCCGCTCATTTTCACCTTGGTGGCCGGGAGCATTTACCGCTTTTTAAATTTTTTATATTTTTCTTCCAACGGAATTGGTCTCCTTTGTTTTTTGTCTCGCTCTAGCACGTTCTCTGTTACCCACTGCACGTCAATGTAGACATTAAAATTAAGCCGAAATAAAGAATCGGCTTTGTTGTTGTTGTTTTTATCTCTAAAAGTCAGAGAAACTATGGGATTTACCGCAAAAACGCGCGGGTGCTTGAAATGCAAAATTTCATCCCTTCTTACATGAAGGGGTGGACGTACGTAGGGACGTACTCCGTACGGACGATTTTCTCAGAACCAAAATTTTCTGGATGCATAGGTTACCAAATTTTCTTACCATTGGTGCTTCGCTGCGAACGCTTCGCGCGCTAGAGCTCCGCTTAAAACTTTCATACTGAGCTTGGGGTGCCTGTGGTCTTACTTTGTGATTTCGCATCGTCGCGATATAAAAATAAAACTGCTCTCCAGCCTTTTACGTGATAACGTTTAAAACTATGGAAAAAGCGTGAAACGCAGTAACAAAATGTGGAAATCAACGTTTTTGAGCTCTTCCAAAATCGTTGTTTTCAGATCAGTAGCTGGCTTTGTACATAGCTCTTGGTCTGGATGGCGTTTTCTATAAGTTTACGTTACAGGTATATGACATGACAAACCATAAGTTTTTGTCCAATCAGAACGCACGTAGACTGATTTAGCAGCACAACGGGAACGTCATTTGACGCGGAATGGAACGACTTCCGGTCCCCAATTTGCGGCTCTACCATTGGCCAAGGCAGTTGTTTGATTTGCGAGCGCAGTCGTCAACTGACGTTCGTGTTCTGTTGCTAAATCAGTGGTAAATCGAGTTACCGTGTAGAAATGCTGCTACAGTTGTTTTGTTTTTTGTAGCCTTTTAAGTCAGAAAGGTCCTAACCGAGCTTTAATTTTCGGAAGCAACGAACCTAAAATGACCTGGGGCCCGTTTCTTTCCCTAAGTCCCGATGACTTTTCGTACCCAAAAAGGTGCTTTATGTTCGCCGTGTTTGCATTCAAGATCAAAGTTTCATTAATTTTTAGAATGATACAATGAACCTATCAGTGAGCTAGGAACTACACTACTATTCAACAGGTCTCTCTTTCGAGAAACAGGCCCCAGGCGTCACCACTGAGCGCTTTCTTTTTCAAATTTGTCCGGATAAGTGCACGGTTGGTTAAATTATTTTTAAAAAAATACGAACGGATGGTGTTAAAGGAAAACGGAAGTTTGTCGGTAGCTTTGTTCAGAAACGGTAGGATGGAGGAGATGACTGACAATCAACTGTTTCAAATCTTGAGTGCTCACTTTTGTTTCTTCTTTCCAACTCCTAGGTCCGTTCCATATTTCCAATTGCATGTTCTTAAAAGAAAATTGAAAAACTCTCCTGGGATTTGTTTTTTTTTTATTGCACTAGACATAACAATATTTGATTGGCGGACAGGTCACAAGTTTCGCAGTTTTGTCAACTCGCGATTATTCAGCAGTATCCTTGGGTTTCATTCGGGATTTTTTGGATAACCTTGAGTTCTCAATTGTATAAGACAACTAAAAACCGTAGCCCCTCTTAAACGTAATGTTGTCCACGAGCACTGTTTGTCGTAGGAATGTCCTTCAGAGAAAACAGTATTTTAAACCTTTAACGCTGTACTGGAGGTCGCAGAGAACAGAGGCAAGGGCACTAGACAGCCAAGAAACCTTCAATGGAATGCGTGCTTTCGAAGACATTCCAGAACCTAATAGCTTTAAGTTTATGTACGATCTTTGCACGAAAACCGAGCGCTTTACCAAAGGATTCAAAGTAACTGAGCGCTTGTTTGAAGAACTTGGCCCTGTTTACAAAGAACGCTGGACGCTGACTCCCTTAACATCTGTACATGTTATCGAACCAGAAGATATCGAGAAAGTATTTCGTGCAGAAGGAAAATATCCTCGAAGGCCGATAATAGATGTCTGGCTTGAGTATCGCAAACGGAGGAATTATTTTCCAGGGCTAGTTTTGGTGTAAGTAAACCATTTATTCCTTTATACAATAAAACTGATAACTCGTGTTCTTTAGCACCGATTGGGGAAAGTAATTCAATTGCATAATTACGTTGTCTGACACGGTATCCATAGCAATTAAGACCACTATATGATCAATTAACAAAACTACTTGGAGAACGATCAAGGGCAGGCGTTCGTGGGCGGCTTGACTTGACAAAGAAAATTAAGGCTCTTTATTTATATAATTAGATTTTAGTTTTTTTCGACGTTCAAAAAGTACTGTCATAACTTGACGGGGTGGGAGGTGTGGCGGGGACGGGGAGACGTAGCGATTTCATAGCCGGAGGTATATAATAACCCACAGTGCTGTAAAAGTTGAGGTTATTACTTCTGCTTGTGGTTCAACCTTTGTTTTTCTTTGTTTTTATACTGCATAGCACTATTGTTTACTATTGTTTTGAGCTCATATACAAATACGGTTTGGGGCATAATGATTATGCAGATACGGTTTAACAAAGGACCAGGCCAAAGACATAGTTTATTCACCCCCGAAGCGTATATTCCTTGCGGTCAATGACTTTTCCTATAAAATGGTCCCAGACTACCACATGGCCCTAGTTTCTTTTCTTTTCCTTTTTTCTTTGCGATTGAAAGCATGTTTAGAAGACAAGATGCCATGATCGTAAGCAATAAGTACCGCATTTCCTTAGCCTGTTCCAAGCGTTCAGATAGTGGAGAGCGGTGCGACGTTAAGAAAGCGATGAAAAGTAGAGGGGGATTTTACTACGCACCGCTCCCCACTATCTGAATGCCTGGAACAGGCTAGCATTTCCTCGAATAAAAGCCGTCCCTCGATTAATCGCCCCACGGGTTAATCGCCTCCCTCGAATAATCGCCGCCTCCCTTGAATAATCGCCCCCCCATCCCTCTTTCCTTCTTCTCTTTCTTTCATCCTTTCCCTGCCGAGATAAAGTATAGAGTCTGATCCAGCAAAACTGATCAGTGACAATTCAAGCTCTAACGCCGAGGATATTGACATTGAAAATTAATCAAGGAGCTAAATTTGGAACTCTTAAAAAGCCCATATGTGACCATTTTTCTTGTTCTAATGGAATAACAAAACAAAATATTTAGGGCACGACTTCCAGTGAGCAATATTTGAAGTAATCGCCTCCCTCGAATAATCGCCTTCCCTCGAACAATCGCCCCCTTTTTGTGCAAAAATAATAATAATAACAATAATCACCCGCGGCCATTATTCCAGGAAATACGGTAATCCCATTTCTGCCACTCTGCCATTCATGGGTGCCGCAACATCACATGTAGCCTGCGATCAGGCGATTTTTAAAAAACAAAAAAAAAGCGCCTGATCGCAGGTTACATCACATGTGACAATCGTTTTTTCATAACAGAAATATTGTAAAGGTTTGTACAGGGATTTTAACGATCATTATCTAGGGGTCAAAAATAGTAATAAAAAGGCATGAGAATTTTTAACCTTGTCTCCTTATTTGAATTTATGGCGTTTTCTTAGAAAACAACGGCAGAACTAAAACTCGCTGAAACTGCACTGAAACGGCCAAATATGCTAAGAACACGCCATAAATTTAGACAAGGAGAGACGAGGTGAGAAATTCTGATTTCTAGTTATTGCTATTTTTCACCCCTAAATAATGATCGCTATAATCCCCAAACAAACCCTTATAATATTTCTGTTATGCAACGATTCTTACTTGTGAGCTTGGGGTACCTGTGCTGTAATCGTGAATCCCGACATCTTGTTTTCTAAACATGCTTTCAATCGCCAAAAACGCAAGAATCCGGGTGTTAGTTAAAACTCGTAGTGACATTTTGGCAACCTTGTGCTTTGGTAACGTTATACAAGGCGTTTTATAAATTCACGATGCAAGCTAATTTTAGAAGTATCTGTATGGGGTAAGCGTTACAGTGCTAACATCTCATCTCCAATTTGTACCAAGGCGCTGAGTTTGGCAAGTGGGAATTTCTTATATTGTTCTTTTTCTTATTATACCACTGAAAGCGATAAATTTAGTTTGTGTGTCGTCATCTCTTATTTGCCCTTTTGTATTTGCCAAAGTGCAGGGGACGATTAAACTAATCCGCGGACCGATTAATCCCAATATCAACCCGACTGACGTTCATTTATCGGAAATAGCCATGTGTACAAAACTGTATAATTCTGAACTTGGAGTTATTTTATCTTTAGTTTTGATTTATATGAACTTTTTATCGTGAAAAGTTGAAAAAAACCGCAAAAAATATCGCAAAATTAGAAAACCCGCGATACATGCTTTGACATGTGGAAAGCTGAACTACTGGTTTCTTGCGCTCTGCAAAAAGACAACGGTGGGGTCACGTAATATTGTTGCGACAACTACGACAAGGATTGTCTGGAAAATCAGGAAACCGGAATTAGTATAGAAATAGCTTGGAGACCACCGAAGACATAAGATTGTCTGGAAAACAGGAAACTGGGATCAGGCAGGAAAAGAAATAGAGATCGGATAGGAAACCAAGACCACCGAAAATTAAGATTTTCTGGAAAATTAGGAAACGACAAATCAGGAATAGGAACTGAGTTAGGAGTAGGAACTGATATAAGATAGTTTCTGGATCTCCGTTTTTGTTTTTGGGAAGAATGGGACAAAACTTGTAGGCGGCAGATGTGACCCCATAAATACTCATATGTTTATCCATTTTAGCCCCATACTCAGAGATAAATGACCGTTTTATATATTTCCTTTTTGACTCACTGAAATAAGCTGAAGCTTTGTTTTCGCGTTGTTGTTATTCTTCGTTCTTTTTTTTTTTTTCCGGTTGTTGCATGTAGGTTTGATGCCGTACAATCAATTTCTATTTCAATATTTGTGTCACCTATTTGAGTTTATTTATTTATTCAATGCACTTTCCAACAAAATGCCACGGTTGGGGGATCGGAAGTGAATGCAATGATAATTGCATACACGCACCAATGTCTCTTTTTTTGTTTATAATAGAGATGGGGAAGAATGGCACAGAGTGCGACAAACTATTGCTCCTAAAATCATGCGACCAAAAATTGTTGAGGAAAACATTGGTAACTTTAACGCCGTAAGCAAGGATGCTGTAGCGAGGTTTGCCAAACTGAAGGAAGCCTGTAAACAAGATGATCACATTCCTGACTTGGAAAAGGAACTGAATCGATGGTCCATGGAAGGTAAGCTTATTATAGCAGTGTGGGTGCAGTGGATGCCATTTGAGGACTGAAATATATCATGCTGACACTGGATAGTTAAAATATTTAAGCCCCTTGCTTGCTTGCCAATAAAACTATGTTCTGTACAATGTGCATTGGTAGGGGTGAGCTCGGTTTGCTAGGAGAACTGAACGACGCCATTATAATTATTTGCCGTAATTTGGCCACTCAGTTACGGAGTGGCCGTTTATTGATAATAACAAATCAAATTACACAGAAACCCGGAATTAAAACCCCTTCCCAGCTCGGCCGAGCGACTGGACTCCTTTCGACTCAAGTTCGTTTCCGTAAGTGATGAACGCGGATCCGTAATCAATGATTACCTCTAGTTCATTATATTTCTATTTATTTTTTACGTTCCCCGCTAATTCATAACCAGCTGGCGCTGATCAAATTTAAAAGAGGTTTGGCGATATCAGTACAATAAAGAGGGGAAGTCGTTACGTCATGTTGCCATGGCAGCAAAATTTTTGGATGACAACAAACCGATAAAGCCACTTAAAAGTCTATTCGCACCATTTCAAACTTCACCGATCTTATTCAATTTCATTTAATTTGGCAAATCTTGGCGAAATTTTCTTTGGGACCATATCTATAGTTATCTAAGTTTAGAAAAAGAAAGCGACAATTCCTGTGTTGTGTTCACCTACTCCATAAAGCGGGCTCGTGAAATTAGGAAGTTTCATTTCGTAGTGGTGAAACGACGGCACAGAAATGTACAAAATAGCGTGATGCACGTGCAAAGTTGTTGTTTGTTAATATAAACAAATTATTTTTTGCCGCTTTCCTTGCCGTCGCCGTCGTCGTTGGTTTTGTTGTCGTTGTCATTTTGTTGTAACGTGACGTCACACTTCTCCTCTCTATTGCACAGATAGCAGGGGGAAGGGACAAAAAATTTCGATCAAACTCGTGTGATTTCTATACAAAACTTAACCTTTTTTATCCAGTCAGAAACGGCGAAACATCAATCTTTAATACAGCCACACTTTGATTATTGCAACATTGTTTGGGGAAACTGTGGGATAACCTTACGGAATAAGGTTCAAAAGCTACAAAACAGAGCAGCCCGTGTTTTGACCTACTCAAGCTATGACGTAGATGCTGGTCACCTTTTCAAACTTCTAGGGTGGAAAAACCTACCTTGCCAGCAACAATTTCAAAGAGCTACGATGGTTTACAGGTCTCTGCATGGGTTGGCTCCAAACTATCTTAGTTCTAAATTTGAAAGGCGAGAAGTCGCATATAACCTAAGGGACTCTGAAAATAAACTCAATGTTCCATTACCGCGCACAAACTATTACAAAAACAGCTTCAGCTATAGTGGCGCCATTCTCTGGAACAGTCTTCCTTGTAACTTAAGGGAAGCAGAGTCCCTTGGGCAATTTAAACGATTACTCAAAGAACTGTAAGGCACGGCATTCGTGGAAAGCAGCTTTTTTATTTAAATATTTTTATTATATTAGTATTAGGCATTTTTAAAGCTGACGAATTTTGTACCGTGGATAAATAAAGATTATCTGTCTATCTATCTAATGAATAATAATTATCTGTGTCATTCTCTTATATGATTTTCATATATTCATAACTTCGTCATCATCCTGAATTGGTAAGAGCGCTGCACCAGTATCGCAGAGGTCAAGGGTTCGAATCCTGTACAAGCCTGATTTTTTTTAGGCTTTCCTTTCCGCAACTGCAAAAGTTGCGTCTATTACTGCGCTGATCTTCTTTCATATAATTCTTCACCCCGCGGTTCTCCGCGTATATTCATAACTTCATCGTTCTTATTATTTTCATAGGTATCGGAACAGTGGCATTTGATAGTCGGTTTGGATTGTATGAAGACGCGCCCCCTCAGGAAGCACTAGAATTTACAAAGGCGGTCGACGACTTTTTTGAACTTAGCCAACAGCTTATGTTGAATGTCTTACAAAGAGTTGCCTCCCGGTATATGGACACACCAATGTATAAGAAGTTCTCTAAGGTTCAAGACACTATCCTGGATATAGGACAGAGGTTTGTTAACAAGAAGATGAAAGAGCTAAAAGAAATGGCAGACAGAGGAATTGATCCCGCCGACGCCCAAGGTCTGTAAACGTAGTGGATTTGTAATTGCAGAAGCTTTTTCTCCTTATACTAAATCCCATATGTTGCTAAATACAGAATTACACGTAATTAAATGAAATAAAAAGTAAACATCGTTTTACATGGCGCCATCAATTGCATGTTAAATCATTATATTATGTCCTAAATTTACTGTAGTTAAACGTTTTCAGCTCGCAAGCTTTCTTCGTTGTAAGAAAAGCGTCTTTTGATTTTCAGGGTCATAACATGGCTCATGTAACGTTATGATATGTTCTTTATTTATGTTTACAAATATCTTGACTGGAGTAAAATACTGATTTGTCACAGTATTATATATTTGTAAAACTGTATTTAATTCTCTTCATGAAGTTGTTCCGGTGTTGTCATATTTGCTGATGAAGGAGGATATTTCTCTAGAAGAGGTCAACGGCCATGCAATTGATGTTGTGTTTGCAGGCGTTGATACGGTAAGAAAATTAGAAGAAACCAAATACAGTTGAACCTCTACAAACGGTCACCTCTCAGGGACACCCAACGACAATTTTTGGAAAAATGAATATCTGTTCGGAAGACAATTTGATATCTAGAATTTTCGGAACATTTGTTGTTAAATTTCTTGCTTGCCTGCCTCTCCTAGGATTTTTGACCAGCCCCCCCCCAAAAAAAAAATGGTATAATTGCCCATTTTTAACGGATTTTTACCGTAAAAAGGTCACCTAGAATTTTCGGGAGCCTTTTTCTGGCTGAAATTTTCGAAAAGGTAAGTTTTGATCCCTATGATTTTCGGATCACTAGACTTTCAGCTAGCAAATCTGAACAGATGAAAAATTTCTAGGGGATAAAAATATGCCTATATCTACCGTTTAAATACTAAAATAGGTTAGACAATGCTATTTTTAATTGGTTTTGAGCTATATTCTCGTTGGGTGCCCATGACCTCTCCACAACGGCCACCTTTGTGCAACGGCCACTTTTTTGGCGGACAGTCCATACATTGATTCTTTTTTTAACCTTTTAACAGCGGCCACCTTTTGATTATACATAATTTATCTATTAATTAATTATAATTAATGTATTTATTTGTTTGTTTAATTATTTTTGCAATTTAGATAGTGAGTAAATTAGCCAATCACCTAACAGGATTCGTAAATTATATTTCCATTTTATACCAATCGCTCGAACTTGAACAAACTGCTGCAAAACGTAGTTGATTAAATATTGAAAGAACGAAGAGTAACTGTTCCCTTCTTTAAAATGTAGACGTCAACTTCTACCGTCTAGTGCATTTTTGCTGTCGAGGAATCGGCTGTTAAACGCGAACGCTGAATTGACTCGATAAAACGCGGAAATCTTGACTCAACTGTTCTCAACGCGAAAGACTCAAAACACATGTGTTCATTCCTCATTGTCACGTGTTCATTTAACTGTCAATCAAAATCGCGCCTAAAACCGGAAGCGGAGGCACCTGCTTTTAAACACAAAAAGTACATTTAATTTTCATTTACCTATCGCTCTAACTTGAACAAACTTTGATTTTATGTTGATACAACCAACAACAGACGTCAACTTCTACTCTCTGGTGGATGTATAACTTAGCACGATTTCCTGAAGTCCAAGAAAAGGTCTACCAAGAGATACAAAGTGTTTTGGGGAAGGACAATGATGTCACACCATCGCACCTCGCCAAACTACGCTATCTGAAGGCGTGCCTTAAGGAGTCCATGAGGTATAGTAAAAGAGATTTTACTTACACAACCATATTTAATTCAGTCTAAGTAAAGGCTTAACCTGGGATCCCACCCCCTCCCCCTCTACCCCCACCTCCGCTTCTCCTGCCTTCGCTTGACGCCGTTGAGACGTTTCAGACGAGAGACGTCTGCGTATTAGGTTCCAAAAAATCTTTAAATTTATCAATAAATTCAACAATATGACGTCCTATTACGTTACTGTGTCAATCAAGTTATACCCACAAGCTGGGTTTAGTTTTATCGTTCGTCTCCAGGGCCCGCGGAACAGTTTTTAAAGTGCGGGGGCCGGTGACCACCTCTTTTGAAGTGGTGGTGGTGGTGGGATGGGGTGGGGGGTGGGGGCCGGTGACCACCTCTTTTGAAGTGGTGGTGGTGGTGGTGGTGGAGGTGGAGGGGGGGGGCGAAGGGGAGGGGCAAATTTGGCTGTTCTCTCTTTTTGGCTGTCTAGAACTTTTAGATTACTGAACCTTTCTTGATTCATTGTTGAGCGGAGTCATGTTAATAAATTTCAAGCCGCTGAAAAGTACCTTTCTCTATGCTGAATCCACCACTAGAAGTTTGCAAATCATGATATTAAACGTAGGTTCCTGTAACCCCTTCATTTTGTCTAGTGTGTCATCGAAATGCGTCAGAGACCACATCATCAGCCGATATAATTCGTTTTAGGAAACCGTAGTTTGTGGAGTAGTCTTCAGATTTAATCGAAAACCTTCATCAAAGAAGACTCCATTCTGCATCGTTGCATATGCTACATAGCCTTGCCAGGGGCGGATCCAGGATTTTTTTAGGAGGGCGTGCACTCGCCTCTTGCTCTACTTCAACACCAATAAACCACACAGTTTTTTTTTGGCAGAATACCAGTTGTATTAGAAAACCGCAGGTCATCTCGGGGGGAAGGTGCACACCCCCGCACCCTCCCCCTAGATCCGCCCCTGCTTGCTGGTTTGAAAACGCAGAAGCCTAGGACTAAGTGCAGTTTTGTAAAGATAGGCGTCTTGAGGCTTACTACGCATCAAACGGATGGGATCGAAACGGACCAATGATAAATTTAGATGCTGGAAGATTCTTATTCCAGCAAAGATACTATTTAAATATATAAAAATGTATCTTACAGTGGAACCTCGATGACGAAGTCTTTGGTCAAACGAACTTTTTTTTTGTACTCCAGTAATAGTAACATATAAAGCAATATGAAAAAGAACCTCGATATAAGTTAACGAGCCTCGTTTTAACGAACATATTTTGCCAGTCCCTTGGCCCTTTGTTATATCGAGGTTCCACTGTACTTAATTTTATTTATTTGTTTTTCAAAAAGGTGAGGGGGGCCCTGGCCCCCCCCCCCAGCCTCTCCCCCTGTGCGGGTTTGGTCTCGCGATTATCACTCTGATATTAATCGCGACGCTTCGACCGCACTGCAAGTCTTCATCAGGCAATATATAGTGTCGATTCCGAGTCGGACTATTTGTACCACCGTGGTTGTTAGTGATTGGTGTATCACAAACCTCGCTCATGATTAAGGTGGCTCGATACAGTTTTCCAGGGCCAAACATGGGAGGTACTGACGTCGCGATCAATATCGAAGTGACAATCGTGAGACAAATGATATAACTAAACCCTTTATACGCATTATCCACGATGATTAATATCTTTCATGACGATGAGTATATTACTCTGTGTAATTTTTTTTGACCGCAACATGAGTCAGTTGATGGTTTCACGTGTACAACTCACTTTGACTCTGAAGATGACATTTTTTCGTTCAAGGCTGACCCCAAGTATTACAGGCAATGGAAGGTTTTTGGAAGAGGATGTTGTCTTATCTGGATACCATGTTCCCGCGAACGTAAGTATTGGGGTCTTCATTCCGATTCTCCTCTTAAGTTTCTTTTAGATCAGTTGTCATCACCACCATAGTTAAGTAGTGTGGAGACAATCCAGTTTTCATGGGCGCAGCGTGAGATTTTGAAGGTGTACGTACGGGAAGGAAAGGTAGAACACCGGAAAAGCTCCATGTTAGGTGGGTGTGGGGAATTAATGCTCCGCCAGAAAATTTTAATATTTAGGGTCTCAGAAAAGCTACTTCCTGCGTGTCGTGTAGGACATTTTCAGTAACTAAACAAATGAAGTAGTTAGTTGTTGATTTTACCCTTGAATTGTTCACGGAAAAAAAGAGTAAAATAACGACGTCATCAAAGGGGGTAACACGCAAAGGCCGGAAGAGACGTCTACCCTTCAAACGGGGAAACTCTGTTATAATGCCATCAATATTAACTTGCTTGTGTTTGTGAAGAATGACAAGAGAGCTTAATCTCCCGTCTGTCATGGAGCTTGGTAAAGGAGTTTTAAAGTCTCTTCGCCGCTGGTGGACGTTTCGCGAGGAGTAACGTCTGCGACTCAGCCACAGAAATTCCACAATGATGACGTAAACTCTGTCCGGAATCCGCTCATAAACGCTGATTAGACGACGGAGTAGTTACTTTGTTTTAGCTATTGTTTACGAATGACAGACAAAAGACAAAAGGCCAAAAAGGTCAAACGTAAACGCGATGAATCTACAGCAAAACAATCAGTATTTGTGCAATATATAATTCTCTAGAAGAAGCATTTGAGTTTTGCTGGAGCTCGTTCGCAGATGAACACAAAATTTTACCAAAATCGACCAGGAGAAAAGTAAAATTGAACAAACTTTGATTTAGGTCGAGTTACTCCTCGCGAAATGTCCCCAGCGGCGAGGAGCGAGGAGAAACGGCTGTTTTCGCAGGCTACATACTGCTAAAGCTACGCTCATTTGTGCATGTTGACACAAGATAAGTCAACAACGTTATCAAAGCAACGTAATTATACTCACGGGACTGAATTAGGATCAGAGTGATCAGTCATCCTGGCTTTGTGATAAAAATGCTTTCAGCAAATAAAAATATACTTCTTTTTGCATATATTTGCTATAAGCACGGGCGTATATGGACGCTACACTCCTAGTTTTAAGCAAAGACGAGCCTTTCAACTGTGTTTTAACGTTTAAATATTCCAGCTTATTATGACCGAAGACGACTGAACATAAACGCCACTGTAATATTCAAAATTACTGTCGCCCTGATCCGTCATACTGAGGGATCCGTGAAGATAGATAGAATAAATGCTTCTTTAATTCTTACTATTATAAATGAACTCTTACAGAGTCTGGTGATAATGGAGTCTTATGCCACAACTCGCTCAGAGAAATACTTCAAAGATCCTTTGGAGTTTAATCCCGAACGCTGGCTCAGAGAAAGTAAAGAGGCTCATTCTTTTTCTAACCTGCAGTTTGGATTTGGACCACGCATGTGCGTCGGTAAGAAGAGAAGCTATTCTGTCGAGGCGACTTCTTGTCAAAAACTTCGCCTTTAGCACATGTTTACTCGCGTATCACGTTAGGGAACATGGCGCGCGCGCCCTTTAAGGGACGGACAAACGGGCAACAAGAAACATGCAACTTGTCTTGCAACATTGCCGCAAAAGCAGTTCAATAGCGATGTTGCGTGTTGTACCCCCTATATCAAACAAGTTGCACGTTTTTGTGCGCCATTCGCGCGTGTTCCCCTGCCTATCGCGTTTTCGCTTGCCTTCATTCTCCTTTTTCCTTTCCTATCAAACGTCTGCCACGAAGGACCTGGGGGGCACACTCTTATATGCTCTAGACAGGTGTGTGCTGCTGAACAGGGCATGGGTTAGAGTGTCTTGAGTTGAATAGCGATTGTGCGCGTTTTACCACCCATATCAAACCTCTCTTGGAGCAAATCAGGTTGTTAACAGATTTGAGCGTGGGTGGTAAAACGCGCAACATCTTTGCAAGTTTTTGTGCGTCCTTTTCACGTTCTCCCCTGCTCATCGCGTTTTCGCGCGCCTTCATTCCCCCTATCCCATACCCATTTCAGTTTTCAATCTATAAAGGGTGATTTAATCAAGTAAAGAATGTAAAAAGAAAGTTGAATTAAATTTTTTTTCTACAATAATTTGCAACTGTAATTGTCAAACTGTCTAGTAACCAACCATCTTTATGGCACTCTTGATCAACATTATGTGTAATATTTGCCCTTCCTGTAGGTCGTCGTGTGGCTGAACTTGAGATGTACGTCTTTATATGCAAGGTAAGTGCTCCGTAGGTAGCATCCTAACGCACTTTTTGTCTTTGTCTTTGATGTCTTTAATAAATTCAAAAGATGAAAATACATATCTCAAGTTACAGCAAATAAAAAATAGCTGAGAGCTCTTAGAACAATTATACATCTATTTACATCAAGGAATTATTATTATAACTGAAGATAAGTCTGTTCACAGAGGACGATGTGAAGCGCTTTGTTGCCACTATAGGATGATAAAAGCATGGTTTTCTTAGCGCCTAATTGGTGAAATTCCTTTCTAGTATAATCTTCACAAGGGGCGAATTTTTTCTCAGTGCCTTTCTAAAAAAATGGCAATCTGATCTTTCAAGCAGCTCCCTTATATTCAGTTTCCTTGACATATACCTGCGTTTGTGCACCCATCTAGAAAATGCTGTGCGTTGTTAAGATCAGAAGAGGAGGCTCCGTACACCGATAAACCATTACATACAAAAAATTAGGCATAACAGTTGACTGAAACAGATAATCCTGCTCCTCCTGATTATACCCCTCTTGCCGAAGCGTTCTTATTTTAACTAAGTACTTTATATAATACCCAGAGAGTGAGACCGTCATTTCTTCATAATTAGGCTTCTTTAGAGAATTGTTTCCCCAGTCGCGATGCGAGGCAAGGAGAGTCATGTTCTAGTGAAAACATTCCCATTCCGTTGACACGAATTCGTCGATGAGAATTTACCAAAAGCTACAATAGTCGTCACATTTGATGAAGCATTTACGTTCACTCCAATTTTGATCAATCATGTATTTTCTACCACTGGGGAGGGGGAGAAGGAGTAATGCTCATGACACGGCTTCCCTCAGGGGTAGGACCCCAGGGGTGGGGGAATTTAACAAGACAAAGTCCCCAGGTTCAAGCGATTCTCAATGGAAAATCCCGCCTGATATCTTCCTCATATTGCTGGTTTTCAGTGTCACTCCATTCAAAATAGATCAAAATAAAAATCAAAACCGTTGAATAGATAAAGTCCAGAATGTGGGAAATGAAAGGACGTACATATACAAAGACCCTCGCCAAGATTCAGGTCAGAGGAATATTTCGTATACGAGATATCCGAAGAAATGTTTTACCCAAACTTATAGAGATTTGTATGGAGACGCCATGCTGGTGCTCACCTAATTGAGCTCCAACATGGCGGACGGAAACCAACAGAAACATCTGTTTCCGAGTTTTGGTACAAAAGCGTGAATTTATTCTTCGAGAAACTCATAGACATTAAAGTAATACTTTTTCTAATACATGAACTGTTAAGATAGCAAAATTTCCTGAAATAAGTCATTTTTTTAACCTACACGACAGCTCTCTTGGCCGTCATGTAAATGCCGCGTCACGCAAAAGCTTAGAAATTCAAGCGTACTCTATCACAAAACCAAGAACCCTTTTGAAGCGAAAATTTGTATGAAAATTAGTTTTCAGCTGCTCTAATACATCGTGAAAGTAAAATCTCGGTAGGATCGATAGTTTTTTAGTTTGAATTTTAGTGACGTCATGTGAAAACCAACAATAACTTGGATTCATTTTATTGAGAGGACTTTTTATGACAGTCTGTATGCAATTTGTTTGCGCATGATCCTAAACAAAGATAACCTGCACTGCAGACGCGCGTATTTCCGGTCGTCGCTTCTCTCTCTCCGGAGGGAGAGAGAAACGACCGGAAATACATCTGCGGTTCGCAGGCTAAAACAAAATTTTGAATTCCCCATCCCTATTTCGCTTGAAGTTACAACAATGTCGTCAGTAGTCCCTTCCCTAGGGACAGGGAACCCAATCCATCCCTTTGTTTTTCCTAATTTTTTTCCCTGATTGGCCCATTCTTGTCCCCAGAGCCCGTCGTTTCTTGGACACGTGTGATTGGCACGGCGTCCTACCTTAGGGGGAAGCCGATGACATGCGCATAAACACAGACAAATTAAATGATATATAAGTCGGTTGAGACTGTGTGTGAAACTGCCCACCTACCACTCCCCTAAGCCAACATTTTGCCCTAAGTGAGAAGTAAGTGTAAATGTTGGCTTAGGGGAGGGGTGGATGGGCAGTTTCCCTTAAAAGTATAATGATCCCAGAGTTTCAGGCTGGGTTGTTCAAAGTAACCCAAGGTTGGAGCGAAATTTGAATCCAGATATGCAAGTTTTTAAAAAGTAAATTCAGTTTAATTCTTTTGGTCAACAAGTGGATGTTTGGATACTCTTAAAAATAACAGAGAAAATTATGCGATAAAATGCTTTTGAACACTAAAGAAAAAGAAACCGGGGTTAAATTTAACCCTGGATCAAGCGCTAATTGGCCTTCGAACAACTGGGCCCTAGAGGGTACATAAAAGTGTAGCCTGCTACGAACCCAGACATACTTCCGGACGTTGCTTCTTTCCGCCCTCAAAGTTACTTTTCGGGTAGAGAGAAGCGATGACAGGATGCGTCTGCAGCGTTCGCAGAATCAATGCCTCTTATTCGCCATTTCTCTTTGTTGCAGTTACTTCAGAGGTTTCGCTTAGAGTATCATCACGAGCCACTGGATTTGCGCCAGAAGCTGCTTACTGTTCCAGATCAACCGGTTAAGATCAAGTTTGTCGACCGCGGTTGATTGTACCCTGTTTCTTTGTTGTTCGTGTTAGTAGTCAGTGATGGTAGTTTTTTAACATTTTTTAACTCTCGAACGTCCACGCAAAGTCATACCCCCACCGTGGTACAAGGGGAGGGGGTTGATGGAACCCCCTCCCCCCTTGGGTTTTTTATATGTTGCAGTATTTAGGGGTGGCGAATGGTACCTCGAAAAACGTGGGTCTCGGAAAATTTTGGTAGGATCTCGAAATCTCGGAAGCGTTTTTGATAAGTCTCGAAGTATCGTTTCTTCATGGTTTGTTTTTACTTTTTATGAGTCTCGAAACTTTTTACCAAAAAGTCTCGGGCTCGGATTTTCTAACTAGGATCTCGGCGTCTCGGCGAGTCCCGGATTTTACCATTCGCCACCCCTAGTATTTCGAAACGAGTTTGCCTTCAGTGGAAAGCCTTTCATCTTCTCTACAAGATGAGGTATGTTTTGTGGGTGGTGGCGCTGCTGGGGGTCTGTGACGTCACCAAACATGGTCGCCATCTTGGATTTTTCAAGAATTACAACTCAGGTAAAAAAAGGGAGAATTAATAATTTTTTGCGCCTAACATGTAAAAAACACATAAATAATTACTTTGCATTATTTTATCCACAAGCTTTACTTTTATTCCCGTAGGAAGTTGAAAACTTGCATGCATTTTCACTCAAAATTGGCTTGACTACCTGCTACTTATGACGTCATATCTCGTACCCATAGTAACTGACCGCCACTAAACTTGTCTCAGAATGCGCGCGAGGGATAAACAAACAGCTACAGAAAACTTCAGGTGCTGATGTTTTATCGCTCAGGAGAAAAAATCAGAAAAACCTTAGGGGCCTCCCTTGTACGTCCGAGGGCTAATCGAGAACTTTTCGAATTTTTTTTTTATTATTAGATAGAGTTGCTTGAGAACTACCTTTTAAAAAACATGGCTGAAAGAGATGTCATTTCTACGGAGACTTATGGAGCTCAAAAGATTCTTTGATGCTTATTACTTTCTGAATTGATTGTTAACAAGTTCTGCCACACATGTCACGACACCAGTCAAGTGATAATCACGCAATTCACTGGTATTTACAAGAAATCGTACTTTACAGCGTCGTTTCTTTTTGGTTGTAAATGCTTCCAAAAGGGGTCAAAATTAAAAGATCTTGTTTGTCTAGTTTGTTTTTGTGTGTCTCATCAATAGGAAAGATGACTGCCCTTTCCAACTGTTTACAAGACCACAAGAGGTAGCTTTTCGTTTCGTAGCTTTTTTCCTTATATGCGGTATGATTTCCGCCAAATCAGTATTCTTAAGTGGTATTCAAAACAAAGATACTTAAAGGTTACGGAAAATACTTATCCTTTTCGTATATAAAGAACTAAATTATTATGTTACATTTGCTAAGCTGACTAGACTGTTCTGAACGCCTGAAACAGGCTACTAGAGAGGAAAGTAGACTATGTCTTTGTGAATCAGAAAAGAATTCGGGGAAACTGCCACTTACCCAACCCTCCGGTCCTCAACATTTTCCCGTGGTAGATAGGGCGTTTTTTCGGGATGTTATAAATCATTTAAAAATGAAACTCACATTATTGTTCATTAAATCTTTGTAGAGGGAGGCATCATGTTCAGTGGAATAATGAAAAAAAATATATACCTGACACTAAAAGGATCGGAAATCATTCTATAAAGATATAAGACGTCTTGTGATAATATGCGTCGTACATGTACATATTGTTTTGTAAGTAATGTCACCTGAGGTACGATTAGTGTATAAGATTAGAATACTGTTAGTATTGTCTTGTTTTAAATAAGTACAGTCATGCTTTTAGAATACAGTAAAATCTTGCACCATTCATGGTGTTACCGATTAAAAAACAATAATAAACAGATAAATTTAAACTGGTAGCTCGTGTAGTATTTGATGACCTACCCTCCCCTCTTCATTAGGAATGTTTTTGGATGCCCCCTTGTATCCCAAATGAATTGAGATTACCTCCTCCCCTCAAAAGAAGGAAAGAAAGAGGGAAGGGATGAAGGAAAAAATTGAAAAATGACTAATTGAACGTACATCAAATATAGACGTTTTGAATGGCCAATAAGCAGCGAACAGACATCGACTATATAAGCTGACGGTTGCAAACAAGTTATCGGTTTATAAAAAAGAGCACCGCCAGAGAAAATTTGGGATCTTGTAAAAGTAGCAAACTTAGTTTTTTTGTACAAAATACTTACTGCATTGGATGCTATACAAAGTGAGGACAGCCATTTTGTTACTTGGTTTGCTCATATGATGGCGGGCAACAGTGGACTGGTTGCATGGTCGTTGTTAAAAGGCGAGCTAGGAATTAAGGAGGATCGGAAGAGGCCGGTACGGGAAACGGAAAATGAAAATTAACAAACCAAATAACTGTTAAGGCCGATTTAGATGGTTCGAGTTTTGATTTAAATCATAATAACAAAATTCTCAAATCTGACTGGCTATCAACTGCCCTGTTTAAGCCTTAATAGGACAGTTAGATAGTCATGCCTAAGGAATTGGACAGTACGCGCCATCACGGCACGTGCGCACTTAAATGGCTTTTGTTTTTCAGTGCTGGGAAAAAAAAAATCTTCAGTTGGGATTTCTGTTGTTTTGACTTAAAAAAAGAGCCCTATATATCACAAATTTTGTTAAAGTATGACTAATCGGTAACAGAACTTCGTGTCGTCCAATTCGGTCTGTAATCATTTTCCTAGTCAGAGATTAAACAAATCGGACTCCCGCTACGCGGTCGCCGGATTTTGTTTATTGGGAGCTTGAAGATGATGTTACAAGAGAAGATTCGCAACGACGATTTTTAGCGCAACACAGCGTTGCAACATTGTTGCGACATTGTTTCGAATGGTCAAAACACTGGTCCAGCATTGCTTCGCTGTGGTGGGCTTAAAGTCGCCGTTGCGAATCATCCTAACGACAGCGACGGCTACGAAAACGTCAGTTAAAATTTGAAATTAGGCAGATCACGTCGTAGTCGTGCAACGACGGCAAAGAAATGTAAAAAAAAGCGTGATGCATGTGCAAAGCTGTCGTTTTGCCAATCTAAGCCTATTGCCCCTTTGACGTTCTCGTTGCCGTCGTCGTGACCGTCGCTGTTGCTTAAGCTCCCTAACCAGTCGTATGATTACAGACCTAACTGGACTACACTCAGTCCTGTTACCATTACTAATACGACTATCGTGCGCGACTGGCATACGTCATGACTTCACATCAGGGCCCAGTTGTTCAGATCGTTCCGAGTAAATTTAACCCGGATCCACGACAAAAGCATTTTCTCGGACGTTTTTCTGTTATTTTTAAAGTTTTCAAAATCAGCTTGTCGACAAAAAAGAATCGAAAACTGAAATGATTTTTACGTATCTGAATTCAAATCGCGTAACCCTGATATCTCGCAGGCACAACTCGGCCCAGATGAGACAGAATCCTTAGGCACATGTGGACGGAGTTACTGGTAGCCGACGGTCATGACGTATTACAACGAAACAATGAGAATGAGGAATATCCAAACATGGAAACATTGAGAATGAAGAATTCGATGGACTAGGGCTAAGGGCAGAAAAAAGATACCAGGTTTCCTGAAGCCTAGAAACTTCAGATTATATGAGGAGACGAACAATAAAAAAGAGCAAAACAAAATAAACCCGGATCAGAATCTTGAACTAACTAACAGTTAACTAACAAAAAAAGTTACACTTACTGGGTGAACCATATGCTATCCCCAACTCAAAATCACTAATTTTATGTAACAAATTTACAAATAATATTTAAAAGGATAAATAAAAAAAGTTTGCCTGGCCTACATCGCGCAAGGAATTATAAAATGCACACCTTTCGTTAGTAGTTAGGCACAGGGACAACACCCTATTCTATAGTGGTACTATACCCTCTTGATTTTTCTGTTGAATGTTGCGTGTTTGCGTTTGGTGGTGCTATATTTTGCTATGTTTGTTCTGCGTTGTTTTTCCAATCATTTAGGTTGGTTTGCGATCGATCCTGTCTTATCCATCGATTATATAGAAGAACTAATGAAGGTTTGCGCAGTTTCCAGTACGAGAGCTGTAAATCGTTAAGTAAGCAATTTTTTTTGACATGAAATGCTTGGGCATTTTACACATCTTACTAGGCGTTTAGGCATGGGATACCTGTGTAGCAACATTGATATATGGGATGAAAAAAAAGAAATAAATAGAAACTTTAAATTCGGAAAATCGACTGAAAAAAGAGGCTTTTACTTACTTGTCTCTAAAACTGATCGCTTTTTCTTGGCAATCCTCACCCCTCCCCACAACATCTCCCTACGTTTTTACCGAGTGGAGCTTGGAAACCAGGGGAAACCAAGATGGCGCTTTATAATGGCGCCCTTGTCCAACTCAAATGTAAGCACGGATTCTGCCAGAACGCAGCTTGGTCTTTCAGTTCACTGACTTCTTAATTATTTTCTGGATCATTTAAATGTGATAAAAGAAGGTACTTTATTTTGAGCAAGAAGGCTCAAGTCTGTCTGGCGTTAGTGACAAGCACTGATCTTGCACGCACGTGCATGGAGAGTTTGATCATAGTACAGGTAAGATATGACGATTTAAGCTTAAAGTGCAATTTTAGAGCTAACAAAACTACATAGTAGTAGCTTAGATTAGAATTTTAATTTCGCTACTGTCAGAATAGCTTGGATTAAGAGGGGTCAGCCAGGGAGCTAGGGGTGGGCAGTCAAAATGTTTCTGGTTATACCGTATTTATTCGAATAAGCGCCCAACCTCGAATTAGCGCGACCTCGAATAAGCGCCCATCCTAAAGGCAGAAAAAGTTAATAAGCGCCCAGCCTCGAATAAGCCCCCACCCCTACCCAACCCCACTCCCACTCCCACTCAAACTGAAATAGGCGCCCACCCCCTTACACCTACCACCCCCCAAAAAGGAATAAGTACTAATAACAGACTTGCCCGAAGACGGAGTTTTCTTCAGAGTGTTTTGCAGAAACCTTGCTTTGTTACATCTTCGCGTTTTGTTATTACCATTTACTGTTTTGTTGCAAAATAGACATGTTACACTTCTTGAAAATGGTGAAAATTTAATAAGCGCCCAGCCTCGAATAAGCGCCCACCTCGAATAAGCGCCCACTCTCAAGGTCCAAAAATTTAATAAGTGCCCAGGGCGGTTAATTCGAATAAATACGGTAATTCAAATATTTTTTAACGTCACGTGCCCAATTACATGTACAGAGATTCCAACTTCTTTTGAAGGAAAGGAAAATATTTTTTAGCACCATAAAGGCGCTCACACAAGTTCGTAAGGCACAAGCCTCTAGGGGGTTCTGGTGGTATGGTCCCCCATGAAACCATGAAATTTTGCAAATTTTGGTTTCTCTCAAGTGGCATTTCCTGCATTTCCACATCATTTTTGTGGTATTCTATTCTATTCTAGGTCTTTATTGTTATCACAAAAATCTTTGGTCTTTTCTTTGCTGTTGTATATCCAATGTTCAAAAACAGGGAGATTTCTGTTACTGCTTTTACAATATGGCCACTTTGAAAAATTATTATAAACTTAATGTGCACAAGGCACAAATGCATTTAGCAGATGTCATGTCAACACTGGTATGGGCTCTGTTAATTATACTCAGTACTTTCTTCGATGTTCAATGGAGAGACTGGACGAGACATTGCAGGAAAGGAAAGTGTAATATGCAACGTTTTACACTTAGATCACAAAAACAACACTCAAGACAAGCAATTTTCTCCCTTGTTTTCAGAGGTTAATGATAAATAGGTAGAATCTGATAAAAATCGGGAGAGCAGGAGACAACAAATCAAATCAAGAGAGGTTGGAATCTCTGAATGCAGCTAATGCAGGCAGAAATGGCAAGCTACAGTGTGGTTTATTTTTCCTGTATTCTTGCATGGCCTTCATCCTTTGACCCCCTATTAGAAGGCAGCCTGGCTGAGTGGTCAGCGAGTCAGACTCGTGATCCGACATCCCCTGGTTCGAGTCTTGCTCTGGCCACTTGCTGGGTTTGTTCTCAGTTATCCCTATTACAAATCATCGGCTACCCTTATAAATAGCCAACTGGGTGCCTCCTGCCAGTTGGAATTTCCAATCCTGTTATGTTATATTTTGAATTATTTGTTTCTAAGTATCTGACAAGAATGGGCCTTTAAACTAGCTGGATAAGCTAGGTGCACTTTCCACTATAAACAAGCCTTTAACCCTTTAATCCCCAATATTGACATTAAAATTCTCCACACTGATCCCATACATTTCCTTGAAATACTTGTTGAGAGAATTTGATTTAGGATCATAGCATTTTCCCTTAAGTGATGATTTTATTAATTTTTGTAACCCAGTGTCCTCATTACATGCATGTACTAATAATATAAAATTGATGCTGGTCACTCTGCGGACTTGAAGGATTAAGATGGAATCCATTAGGAAATTGAGTAATTTTAATTCTCATTGGACAAAAACTTTTTACCAGAATAATTTAAATAACAGTGCATTCTTTTTCACATATTTCAAGGCCTAACAATGTTATTAGTGATCTGTGATGACACCAAAGAAAATTTCTGATGGGGGCCTGAGAAAATAAATGCCAGATTTCACAAGAATTGTGAAAACACAGGTAAAATTCTGGAAATTTCATGTGTAAGATGTAATTTTGTGAAATTTGACATTTATTTTCTCTTGCTCCTTTAAGAAATTTTCTGTGTTTTTGTTTCAGATAATTAATTACATCTAGAGCCCTTGACAAATGTAATAAGTATGTGTAATCAAATGGTGATGAGTGA